GAGCAGATGGCACGCGAAGGGCATGTACCCAATACAGAGGATGTTTTTCAGGATATTGAAGAAGAGCAGAAGGCATATGTGTTATGTGGTCACAGTGAGAAACTTGCTATAGTGTTTGGTATTATAAGCACACCTGCTGGAACAAGAATTCGTGTGATGAAGAATCTCCGAGTCTGTATTGATTGCCACACAGTAACAAAATTTATTTCAAAGTTAGCTGATAGGGAGATTGTTGTGCGTGATGCAAACCGTTTCCACCACTTTAAGGATGGAAATTGTTCCTGCGGGGACTTTTGGTGATTAGGTAACCGTTTGGGATTATCATGTGCTGAAATATAAAGTGAATTGTCTGCTTTCTCCATCAGCTTAAGCTTTTGGGTTGAACTGATCAATGCATGCAACTCAGCCTGTTCGCTTGCTCGTATACGATCGTGGATTATAAGCTGGAACAGTATTTTTCTCTTACACCAAATCAGCCAGCAGTAAATAATCCATGATCGTTTACGGCCTGAAGAACAGGCTGTTAATATTACTTAATATGGTATCATACTAGAGGTCTCGAGTTCAAATCATGGCTAGCGCAATTAAATAAAAAATAATTGTTGCGCGCTGTTATTCCACGTCTGAGGCACGAGTGGGAGTGTTGAGATATAAAGTGAACTGGCCACCTCCACTATTAGCTAAAGGTTTTGGGTTGAACTGGTTAGTGCATGCAACTCAATAATATGTTTGTGAAGGGAGTTTCTACTGCATGTGGTAGTAACTCAATTATATGGCTATTTACAACCATGTTCTTAAAAAGTAGTAACATGATTGTACTCATTTCCCTTTCATGCTTGCAGGGTACACCAAATGAGCAGCTCGTGGTGGATGCCCATGATTCCAGGCAAGTGCAGCACACTCTGGATTGTGGAGACGGCCATTATTTTTCTTCAGCATGGAACCACCACAGCAATGTACTTGGTATACATTGGTTAACATGGCGGTACTTGGTATACATTGGTTAACATGGCGGATAACAGGTATGATCCGCAGTGTAAATCTTGTGGCATCAGAGTCAGGTCTGAAAGGCATGCATAGATATTGGAACTACTGCGGTAATAATCCAAGGATCAGAAGTTGGAGCGCGACGCGTGTGTGAATTACCATTCTTCCGGAGTACGTATGCTGTAGCCTGTAGCTGTACTCAGCACGACCATGTCATGAATGAGTTCATTGATTCCTTCATAAATCTGGGACCATCCAGCCAGCCACATACCCAGCGAGCCGGGACTACAGCTGGAGCCCGCATTAGTCCAAGATCCAGCTGAACAGGACTGCAGCTGAATGATGCGCCACAGCCTCTTTTTTTTGGCCCTAAAGTGCGAAATAGAATAGTACTAGAAGCCAAGGTTCATCAAATTTTTAGCTTGATCCCTTAATCATTTTCCTTGACGATGATGCTCCTTGATGCTACTTAAATAGTACTAGCACGTACCAGAAATGAGTGTGGTGGTGGTTTTGCACAGAGAAGCGGATACGGTAAAAGGGGTTGAGCTATACGTATGGCAGGAGTTCCTTGTTCATTTCTACTTACAGTACTCGCTACACCGTACACGTATATACATACTTTTTATACATACGCAACGACCGACGAGCGACAAGGACGTGACAACCTATACGAAAAGACGGCCAAATCTGTGCAGCCAGTCAGAGCGGGTACTCCGTACACGTATACACAGCACGCGGCGGATAACCCGGGCGGAATCGCGAATCGCAAAGCAAATAAAGCACCCCATATGGCCATATTCCCGTTCCCACCCTCGACTCCTGTCCTATCCGCTCGCCAGTCGCCACCTCCACTCCTCTCCTCCGCGCCCGGCGCCTCCCGTCTTCCTCCTCCCTCCCGACACACCTCTTTAACTCGCCCCCGCTTCCAAAAAATGCTCCAGTTAATTTAATCCAGACGAGGAATCGCCTCGCCTCGCCTCGCCCCGCCCCGCCCCAACCCGGATCTCTTGCCCGCGAATCCCCAGGCCTGCTTGCTCGCCGACAGGACCCTGCCATCGGCTCCGGCGGGAGGTTGACTCGCACTGCGGCGGGGCGGGGCGCGTCGCCGCCGCCGCAGCTCGGCACGGGGGCTCGTCGGGTCGGCAGTCGCTTTCGGGTCGGGCGCTGTCGAGGCCAGCGGTGCCGGGGCAATGCGGTCAGTTCGTGGAGCTGTTTGAGGCGCTTGGGCTGGGATCTGAGTGAGGGTGCCAGGTAGTAGAGGAAGCGAGCGAGCGAGCTTCTGTCGGTGGGGAGTTGGTGGTGGTTGTAGGCGTACGGCGCGCGTTGGGCTGCCGGGATGGAGCACGTAGTCGGGGGCAAGTTCAAGCTCGGCAAGAAGATCGGGAGCGGATCCTTTGGGGAGCTCTACCTCGGTGCGTCCCGGTGATGGGTCCTGCTTGATTTGTGGAGCTCACTTTCCCTTCTTTTTCTCCGGGCGTGCTTCGGTGTGTCGTGCTTCTGACCGTGTGTTTGTTTTGATTTGTGTGCAGCCGTGAACGTGCAGAATGGCGAGGAGGTGGCTGTCAAACTGGTATGGCATGATTCTAGTGTCCGCTATCCATGTTTTGGTGAACAATACTGTGTAGTAGGAGTTGACTCTAGTTGGAGTAACTGAAATATGTAGTTAGCCTAATCGGTTGCTACTCACCTTGCAAGCATTATTGCATATTAGGAGCTCGGCAATTACAGCACAAACGTCCCTGTACAGAAATGATGTTATCCAGCGCTGTCTATGCCTCTTGCGACAGAATTGTCAACAGTGGGACCATTTGGGTCCTGGAATAAGCTTCATCCGAGTGAAATGAATCATTTGTACAACACAATTTTATCCTGGAGAAACGTTTGCTCATTTGAGTCAGTGAACCTGTAGCACTTCATTTGAGTCAATGAACCTGTAGCACTCCTCTGAAGTGAGGGTATCAATGCTAATCTCAAAGCAGCCATTAGAAACTAATCTCTTGTTTGTTCTGATTGGATTGTTCTTAAAGTTGGGTTTAGCTTCTTTGGAGTTATGTTTTCTCTATATATGCTAAATTAAATTAGTGTGTTAGACTGTTAGCTGATGGTGAGTGTTTCTCCAAGACTGTAATGTCAACAGTGGCATATCAAAAAATATTTTAGCACAGATATGTTTAGTGCATCTTCATAATTGCTAGGTGATTGATCTTTTTTAGAAGAACTTGATTCGCGGTCATTGATATTGTTGGTCTTAGTTGCTATTAGGAATTTAGGACTGATTGCTCACTTATTTTGCGTGTGTATATTTCTTCTTATTAGGAATCGGTCAAATCACGGCACCCACAGCTTCACTATGAATCAAAACTATACATGCTTTTGCAGGGTGGAAGTAAGTGCAACCAAAGTAAAATTTGGTTATCTCAATTACACTGGTATTTTACTGATCTGTTTCTGTTCTGCCCTGATTTGTAGCTGGGATTCCACATCTTAAGTGGTTCGGGGTGGAGGGGGAGTACAATGTCATGGTGATTGATCTGCTTGGTCCAAGTCTGGAGGACTTATTTAACTACTGCAGCAGAAAGTTCTCCCTTAAAACAGTACTAATGCTTGCTGATCAGATGGTGAGTCTTTCTTATGGTTCCACTTTCCATTTCATCGGTCTTTGCAAACAAAAATAACTTGCCTTCTTCATGTGGGATACAGATTAGTAGAGTAGAATATATGCACACGAAGGGGTTTCTACATCGTGATATCAAGCCCGATAATTTCCTCATGGGTTTAGGGCGTAAAAGCAAACCAGGTATGTGCTACTTCTGCTAAACCTCATTAAGAGTCAGTTTTCCTATTGGAAGCATTTTGTCTACCAAATTGAACAATAGTGAATCAAAAGATTTTGAATATGAGACACTTTAAGAATCATATTATCTGATGTCTAATGATAACAGTGAAGTTGAACGACGCTTTTATTATGAGAAATGACTATTAGCTTGCTGGCAAAGTTACCATCTGAAAACAGTTGTGCACACTCCACAGGTATTTGTTATCGACTATGGCCTTGCAAAAAGTATCGAGATCTCCAAACTCATAAGCACATACCATACAGGTAAAGGAGAATCTATGCCTATAAAGTTATAAAGCTACTTCTAACTTAGCATCCTGAAAGTGGGAGATTGTTCAGGTGTACCATCCCAATTAGATCCTGTTGTTTTAGTGTCTGTATTCCTGTTCACTCAATGTTTTTGATGCCATTGGCATTTTGACATAGTTCACGCATACCATAAACCTTTTTGTGGTTTACTATGCAACAGCTTATTACATGACTGAGTTCTTGGTTCTGAACCTACCTGAAAATTGAAATTTTGGATCAATTGTACCTTTTGTCTTGGGCTGAATTTGGTCATTCTTGAAAGGTTAACCTGGTACCTGGCATAATAGGAAGATGTTTTGCACTGGTTTTAACCATAGTGGTCAAGTTGGTTCATATAAGCAGGCTAGGGGCAGCCAACAATACTCAAACAATGTGTGTAGAAAATTATTATTATTAATAATGATAGGAAATATCAAAAGTTCAACATTGTAAAAACGCTGCTGTACTGATTAGTATTAACTTTTCATCTTTGACATGAAAATTCCTGTTGCAAATCTTTTTCCTGGAGGTTCATTTTTTTGGTTCTAAGCTTCTAGCCAGAACTACTTTATGTGTGTTATCATTTAAAAGCTAATACAATTTGTCAATTTCTTCGTCTTGCCACAGGAAAAACAAAACCTCACAGGAACAGCACGATATGCCAGTGTAAATACCCATCTCGGAGTAGGTGAGTTTATGGCTTGTAAATACAGATATCTGTATCATTAGTATCTGAGTTAAATGAGAGTCTATAGGGCAAAGGGAAACAGGGAAGGCAAATATTTTGAACAAATTAAAACTCTTCAAAACCTGTAAGCTGTAACACTAACAAATCTGAATGCCTTGATAGATGAATTTGGGTTAACCTTTCTTCATTTCCTTCTAGAGCAAAGCAGAAGAGATGATCTGGAATCTCTTGGTTATGTGCTGATGTATTTCTTAAGAGGAAGGTATGACATAATTTTTCTTCACTAGGATTTCCTATATTCTTGTGCACCATAACATTTTCTTGTCATCTTGGAATCCCCCAGTCTTCCTTGGCAAGGCCTGAAAGCTGGCACAAAGAAGCAAAAGTATGATAGAATCAGTGAAAAGAAAATGCTGACACCAGTTGAGGTACTTGATTTTTTAGATCAAGGGACAGTGCATTGCGAAGTCCCCATGATCCCATCACTTAATGTGCTGTTCAAACAACATGTTATGGTATTGATTTTCTGTGATAATAACATGCCAAATTCCTAAACAGGTCCTCTGTAAATCGTATCCATCAGAGTTTACTGCATACTTTCATTACTGTAGATCACTACGATTTGAAGATAAACCGGATTACTCCTATTTGAAGAGACTCTTCCGTGACTTATTTATCCGTGAGGGTATGGTTAAACATTATAAATGTATAATTGATGTTCCTTGCACCTCTATTTTTTTTATGTGGCTTATTCTGGATACTTGCAGGGTACCAACTAGATTATGTATTTGACTGGACCATTATGAAGTATCCTCAGTTTAGAGATAAAAGCAAACTTCAGGTATGCACGCATGTTATTCATTTCCAGGTTCCAGCCCTTCATTAACCAATGTGATTTTCACTGGGCTGACATTTTGCATTTGCTCTTGGCAACTAGTCTAGTGGCAAGATTAGTGGGTTGGCAGGCCCTTCTGCAGAAAGGACTGATAGAACTGCAGGTCCGTAAATCTTTGAGCTAGGAAATAAATTGGTGAAATTTACCAAGTTTTTGTATCAACAAGGGGCACGACTACATCTCTGACAGATTATTTTCTGCAGCTGAAGCTTTGTTTAGAAGAACTAGATCTGGTTCTGGTCACAATCGAGAACACACCAAGCACAGAAGTCTTCTAGAGTCACTGATGCCATCCAAGGTGGTAAGATGTTTTGCTGTTCTGTACACCAGCTAATCGTTCTGCCGTGATTTCAGAAGATCTTACCGCTACATATTGTTTTCTGTAGACTGTTGGTTCGGATAAAACAAGGCCATCCTCATCATCGCGCAATGGAAGCACCTCAAGAAGAGCTGTCCTTTCATCAAGCAAACCAAGCTCTTCTGGAGATCCAAGTGACCCAAACCGCATGGGTCGCCTGGTCCCGAGTAGCAGCAGCCGCCCACCGACTGCCCAAAGGGCACATCCTTCAGGTGGAACTGAGATGAGATCATCGTCTTTGTCAAAAATCGGAAGGTCTTCACATGATGACGCCATCAGGAACTTCGAGCTCCTCTCACTTGGTGCTGACAGGAGAAAATAAGGAACTGACGAAATGGGCTATGAACTCTGGATGATGACGATGGAGTGCTGGGGGTATTATGAGCAGGCAGCTCCAGTATTTGTATGTTGAAAAATATTCTTTTCAAAATAAAAGAGATGATTTAGCTTATTGTTTCCCTCCGGTCGACTAATACTTACTCTGTTCCGAAGGGAATACAATTCTAGCATACTATCAAGTCAAACCATTTGAATTTGACCTAGTTTATAAAAAAAGTATTATGATACCAAATAAGTGTCATCAGATTCACCATGATATTGATACTCTTTTCTATAGACTTTGGTTAAACTTTAGATAGTTTGACTAAAGACACAACTAGAATTGTATCCTTTTTTCCTATAGAGGTTGTAACAGACTAAGAGTTAAGTATGAATACGTGGATCCGGCCGTACTAGAGAACAGAAGGTGAGACAACGAATAAAAGTTTGATGGTAGCTAAGTTTGTTGTTCTACATTCATCATTGCATAGGGATTCATTCATCCATGTAGAAGAACAGAGAGGCAAACAGGGTTGACATCGCCATGGTACGAAAGCTCGTCGCTCATCAGCAATTTCATGGTGGTCTGTCATCTCGGACGCCAGGGGGTCTCTGACGAACTGTGCTCACCAAGTGTGCATAAGGCACAATTCCAGTTAGGCTACCCGCTCGCTGAGCCAAGTGATGCCTCTTCGACTTGGACCAGAAACGCAAGGGGGACGGAGGCCGGAGGGTACCGGTCGCCCTGGTCTGTTTGGCGATAGTGTTCGTGAAGGTTCGAGGAGTAACTTCCACGAGCTTGGTTGCTTGTTTCTTCCACTCGTGTACAATGTTTAGCAGAAGTCGCAGCAGCATGACAGCGCCACTGCCCACTAGCTTCAAAGTCAATACATCAAATTTTGCAATAGAAATTGAAAAACAAAAACTGTCACAAGCAACCCCCATTCAATTCTGACTAGATGCGGAGTACCCAGTGCAGACGGCTGTGAGAACTTGAGATGACATGTATCTGAGTCAGGCAGTACAATGGTGATGGTACATGACTGGATAGACGCTATGATGTGTACCTGAATCAGAACTGACTAGGTAAGCCTATGCTTGCCGGTAGCTTCTGAACTGCAAATACTGTGCATTGCTGCAACAAGAAACGCGTTCTAGAATCCCAGGCATGCTTACAAAGTAAAGCGAAATAATTAGCTAGGTATAATACCATCAGATAGAAAATCAACTTATTTAAGATGGAGATTTTTTTCTGGTAACACTTGTTGTCTTACAAGTATGTTAATATAATCTTCGCCACAATGTCTTAATCCCAAAGTATCTGACTAGATCCACAAGACTAAAACCTCCTGTAGAGGAAATGATGTTCAACGTAAAGTATTAGAAAATCCAATGCTCTGTCTACATTTGATCCCAACCGCCAATTTTTTAATCGAGTGCCATGTATGATGCGTGTACACCAGTTGTACCTGATGGGAAGAGCATATTTCTGTGAGTCGGACAATACCCTTAAGATCACGAACAATATTATGGTACATGAATGGATATAGATGTCTGGAACAAATTCCAACTAGAAGATGTTGGGATCCCGACCCCTGATTCTGAGAGCAAAAGCAAAGTAATTCTCACATCACGTTTTGTGGATGTGTGCTATACTGCTATCAAATGGGAGCTCAACAGAGCTTGATCAAGATGGAGTACCTAGAGAAGGAGGCAGCATGGGAGCTCTTCCGAAGCAATTTGAGCACTCAGGCAATTGCAGCCATTGATTCATCTGGCCCCAACAATGCTGTAAAAGAACATGCTAATGCAATTGTCCGAAGCTGCGGTGGTTTGCCACTAGCACTCAAGGTGATAGCGAGTGCTGTGGCAGGGCTGACAACACCAAGTGAATGGAGTTTGGCAATGCACGCAACCAAGCATGACATCAAGGATATAGATGGAATCCCAGAAATGTTCCATAAACTGAAATATAGTTATGATAAGTTGACACAAACACAGCAGCAATGCTTCCTGTATTGCACCCTTTTCCCTGAATATGGTTCAATTAGCAAAGATCAGCTTGTGGAATACTGGATGGCAGAAGAATTGATACCTCAAGATCCCAACAGAGGTCATCGCATAATCAATCGCTTGCTCTCAGCATGCTTATTGGAGAGCTGTGGATCTGATTTAGAGGTAAAAATGCACCATATTATTCGTCATCTGGGATTGTCCCTTGCAGTGCAGCAAAAGATTGTTGTGAAGGCTGGAATGAACTTGGAAAAAGGCACCACCACACAGAGAGTGGCGAACAGCAAGAAGGATATCACTCATGTACAATGACATAAGAGACCTCGGTATCTCACCAGAATGCAAGGATCTTGTAACATTATTGGTCCAAAATAATCCTAACTTGGACAAGCTAAGTCCAACCTTCTTCCAGTCCATGTACTCTTTGAAGGTACTTGATCTATCACACACCAGAATTACAGCACTTCCTCTATGTAGCACATTGGCGAAGCTCAAGTTTCTCAATTTGTCTCACACATTCATTGAGAGACTTCCTGAAGATTTCTGGATGTTCAAAAAACTAAGACATCTAGATTTAAGTGTTACCAAGGCACTGAAAGAGACCTTAGATAACTGTTCCAAGCTATACAAGCTAAGGGTGCTAAACCTCTTCCGAAGCAATTATGGGATTCGCGACGTGAATGATCTGAACATTGATTCCTTAAGGGAACTGGAATTCCTTGGGATCACAATCTATGCTGAGGATGTCTTAAAGAAGATGACAAATACACATCCTCTAGCCAAGTCAACACAGCGTCTTAGCCTCAAGCACTGTGAACAGATGCAGTCAATCCAAATATCAGACTTCACACATATGGTGCAACTTCGAGAACTCTATGTTGAATCATGTCTTGACTTGATACAACTTATTGCTGACCCTGACAAGGGAAAAGCTTCCTGCCTGCAAATTCTCACCCTTGCTAAACTGCCTTCCCTCCAAACTATTCTTGTTGGGTCTTCGCCTCATCACTTCCGCAATCTCCTAGAAATAACAATCTCTCACTGCCATAAATTGCATGACATCACCTGGGTTCTGAAGCTGGATGCACTCGAGAAGCTTTCTATCTGCCATTGCAATGAACTGGAGCAAGTTGTTCAAGAAATAATCAACAAGGTGGACAACAGGAGAGGGGGGATTGAGCACAACATTGTTCAGAGATATGGGATAATAAATGGTTTCTCTGAAGAACAGGAGATACATTGCATGGTAGAAGATGCATATAATGAACATGTAAAAGGCTATCAGAACAAGACAGAGAATGAGCGGATCAAGGGTGTGCATCATGTGGGCTTCCCAAAACTGAGAGCAATGGTTCTGACAGACCTGCCAAAGCTGACGGCAATATGCAATCCAAGAGACTTTCCTTGCCTTGAGATTATTAGGGTGGAGCGTTGCCCATGTTTGACAGCACTTCCATTGGGTCAAATGTCTGACTGCCCAAAACTAAAGTAGATTTGTGGATCATATGACTGGTGGAAGAAGCTAGAGTGGAATGGCAAGGAGAATAGAGAATAAGTATTTCATTCCAATCAAAGATGAAGACTAGCATTCTCATGAAAAACAAGCACAGGTACCGCACACATTACTGATAATTTTTCTGTTCAAGATCTAATTGCCCACCTGTAAACTTACTTATTTGATCCATATGTTCAAAGTCCTAAATAAGTGGCTTTTGCATATGCCTATTTGTATTATGTAATACAAACTGTATACATTTTGTACACAACCTGTAAATACTGTACATATTTTACATAGACACTGTACAGATTGTACATGTAGATGTAGTACAAATGTATATAATGTAAATCTGTTCAGATGTCGATGCACTTATCCCTCATATTCATGCAGGTTTTCTGGCAATTGAGCTGATTAACTATGTTGTAAATTTCGGATACATGATATTTAAAAAAAAAAAAATACATAGCACATCTAGATCCAGTTATCCTCTAAAACTTCAAAAAGAGCAACCTAAAACAAGAATAACTATTATTGTATCCCATACCTTCTTAATTCCCTTGAGATGGTAATTGTTCCTGGACAGAAGTGGAGAACCAACTGCATATGTGGAAAGAGCACACAAATCTTCCTTAATGTTCTATAAAAAAACATCCTAGCTAGAAATCAATAAAAGATCAGGTTCCACCTTATTGTTCGGAAATAACAAATTTCACGTGCAAATTTCACGACACATTCTGAAGATACAATATGGGTAGCAGCTTGACAGAGTGGGTTATCTATGGAATGTGTCATACCGTGACGATGTCCATGGACGCAGCATTCTCTATCTTGCATTGCATCTAGCAATGCACAAATTGTTCTCCACAGGACACTGTTCCCATCGTGTAATCACTTTCTCCGATCACCAACAACACTCTGCAGAAAATAAATCAAATGGAACAGGCGCTGCTGGCGTGGCAGTTTAGATTTTTTTTTTCGAAGCGAGCTCATTACCCCATTTCCATTGAAGACAACGAAAATACAAAGTTTGAAGAGCAATACAGATAGAGTCAGGGAGCAGAACGAGCGTAAGAACTGACTACCATTACAAAAGACCTTTGAAACGCCTGATTCAGGCAGCAACTAAGAGCAAAACCAGAAACATGGAGAGTTTCATCTCAATCCATCTAAGGAAGCCTAACGAGGATCATCACAGGTCATCAAAACCATTGTAGCAGAAGCGTAGAACCATCAAGAAAGATTCAGCTCAACACCACCATCAGTCATTCTGACTGCTCCCTTGGTCATCTTCTAGTAAGTGCTGCTTCCTCTTTGTCGACTTCTTGTTCAGCAACTTCAGAGCGATCTTCATCATCGTATTAACTCCGGCCACCAAAGCTTCCTTGTCTGCTTCTGGAAATAACCCTGCCTAGTAACACATGAGCGAACATGCAAAGCATATGATTGTAATTGGATTTGTTATTTTCTTGCCTTCAAAGCATATCTCATTCCTAGTTTTCCAAATGGCCCAGCAAATAGCCGCAATGCCCAAAGTATGAAATTTATGGCCATTAGGCAACCATTTTTCACACCAATCCCAACACCAATGGATATTTCTAGGAATATTATCAGCACCAACAGCATAGGCAACAACAGCCCACACTACTTTAGCAGTACTACATTGAAATAAAAGATGAGAAATGCTCTCCCCCTCATCACAGAAGTGACAAGTCGGGTCACCCAACCATTTCCTCTTAAGCAAATTGTCCTTAGTGAGAATAGCATTGTTCATGATTAGCCAAAGAAAGATTTTAATTTTTGCTGGGATTCTTCCTTTCCAAATTTTCCTATGATAAGGACCAGCATCACTCGAAGATAAGGCATTATATACAGATTTCACAGTGAAAACACCTTTGTTTCCATATTTCCAGAGGACCGAGTCATCAGCAGTACTTAAGTTTATATCAGCAACATCAGTTAAGATATTGTCCCATTGGGTCCTGAGATCATCAACCAACCATCTAATGAATGTGATTAGTGAAGGATTTGTTTTAACCGAATACAAAGAAATATCAGGTTGCTCACACAATTTGAACAAATCAGGATAGAGGGTGCTCAAGGGTTTATTATAGGGCAATGTATCAAGTGCAAACCAACCTCTCCGTGCAAACCGTGCAAACCAACTGCGGGGAAGAGGTGGGAGGGGGGATTTGTAAAAGTGTAATTAGGAGCGGACGTAATTACACTTTTGCAAATCCCCCTCCCCCCTCTCCCCCGCAGTTGGTTTGCACGGAGAGGTTGGTTTGCACTAAATATGTTCCCTATTATAGAGCCGGCAGTTTAGATGGAATATATATAGTGATTTGTAATTGATGAGAGAAGTCGTATTCGTGTTTGCCCCCACGCTGCTAACCTTGCAACCTTTAGTCGGATTCTCCCACGCCTCCACCGATGGAGACACCATAGATTACCACTTACCAGCAAGCAATTCATGAAATGTTGTGGACGAAGATAAGGGAGGAACATGCAAACATCAATTGAGATCACTAGACATGGAGGGGATAAACTTGCCGCGACGGGTCTCTGGCGGCACGGAGACCGGAGTTGACCCACGAAGTCAGCGATGGCCGTGGCAGTGCGCTTGGACGGCCCGGCACGCCCTCCGCCATCGCCGCCGCTGTCGCTGCCTCCGCCACCGCCGCCGCCGCCATGGTCACCGCCTCACCGGGACGCAAACTGGCAGTGCCGCCATGCGCCATGGTCACCGGGAAGAAATTGGATGGACTTTTTCGTCAAAAAAAAGAAAAGAATGGACTTGGTCTCAGAACGGCAGAAAAAAAAACATAAGAGATTCGTAGGCAAGCCAACCATAGACTGACACCTGTCGGGGTCTCTGTGACTGCCAACCGGGCGCGCACCTCGTCACCGCGGCCGTGCGGCGCCGCGAAGGAGCCACTAGCTTACCTCATCCTCATGGGCGACTCGGCGAGGTCGTCGTCGTGACGTCGTCTCCCATCTCAAAACCAGCTCGGACCAGCGCTAGACTCTCTTGACCACGAAATTCCACGGCATTGTCAACGGAGCTGCTGGCATCTGCCGTGCGGCGGAAATGATTCTTCCTGTCAAGCATCTACTGCCGGATGCCAGTTCATCAAATCATCAGGCGTCCACAAACGGGCGCAACTTCGCGGCAAGTACGGCTCGGCCTTGTGCGCGCGCGGGAGGAGTGGCGGCGCACGCAAGGTGTTTGACGGACTGCCTCTACCAGATCATCTCCACCGTGCCGCCTTACACACAGTCACATGCCCTTGTTGAATAAAGCCGGGCACCGCTCGTCGGCAACCGCTCTGGTATGCTCTTGCTCTTCACAAGAAACGACGAGGAAACTGGCTCGCCGTCGCCGGGAGTGATCTTGCCTCCTGCGTCCAGCCTCAGCCAGTGGATATCCCAACCTGGGATTTTGCTCCCATTCGATGACTTTTCAAAGCACCCCCTCGCCCCCCTCCCCGCCCCCCCCCACCCCCACCCCCCTACACACACCACCACACCCACCCACACCCACACACACCGAACAACGGGCGCGCGGACGTTTTCTTCGTAAAGCCCCCCGAATCTTTCCAATCCAATCCTCATCAGGGCAACCGTCTGCCGTGTTGCCCCATTCGTGCCGTGCACCGCGTGGCGTCTAGCCTCCGCATATGCTTTCCTTTATAAGCTTCAAAGAACTCTCCCTTTTTGCAGATTCCTCGTTCGCCTGCTGCGCGCTCACCATCACCGTCCCAGATGGCTGAAACCATCAGCGCGGCGGGCTCGTGCCTGGAGCCACTGTTCGGCTGTCTGCTCGAGGCAGCGGGCCGGGAGGTGGCCGCGTTCCTTCGCATCAAGTCGAATTGGAGCGACCTCGAAAAGGCCCGGGACAGCCTGCGGGCCGTCGAGACGACGGTCAGGGCGGCAGTCACGGCGGAGGAGGACAAGCTGAACGTCTGTGATCCTCAGGTGGAGGTGTGGCTCAAGCGCGTCGACGAGCTTCGCCCGGACGCCATCGACGTGGATTACAGCAGTTTGTTGGGGTTCTCTTGCCTCTGCCAGTGCACCGTGCACGCTCGTCGCCGCGCCTCGATCGGCAAGCGTGTTGTGGACGCGCTGGAGGAGGTGAACAAACTGACCGAGGAAGGGAGGCAGTTCAGGACATTTGGGTTCAAGCCACCGCCGAGGGCCGTCAGTCGGTTATCCCAAACCGAGACCGTTGGGTTGGAGCCCATGTTGGCTCAGGTCCATGATTTGCTTGAGAAGGGCGAGTCAAGCATAATTGGTGTGTGGGGTCAAGGAGGCATCGGCAAGACGACTCTCCTACACGCCTTCAACAATGATCTCGAAAAGAAAGATCACAACTATCAGGTACTATTTCGCTTCCTCCAAAGCTGCAATTTACTCATCAGAATATATGTGAATCTGCTTATTTGTCTTCCTCTTTCGAATTGCATATATAGGATTGCTTCAATGATGAATTTAATGGTGCTTACATTCGTAGTGTATTCAGAATGATATGCAGAACGAACATAAATTAAACTGCAAAAGTTTTGAGTTGCAGACTGCCAGTAATGGGAGGGAAATGCTGTTGTTCTTGTATAGCCAAACATTTCTGGCACATGTATAGTGCAGCTAATATGTTGTTCACGAGTACTAGTTCAAACTGAAGATGTTGCAGCGTCAGATGTAAACTATGGATATTTTATATTTACATGAACTATGCACATTAGACAGGAAGAATAAAGTAGCACCATCGTTTTTTTACAGCATGAAATGGATGTGACTCTTTTGTGTGTAACAAGTTTTTTTAAGGTTCCTCTAAAAACTATTTTGGAACAGATGCAATTGGAGAAAATATAATGACACTGTCTTATTCTCCAGAGATTTTAGCTAGCATTCATAATTCACCGACCTTATTATGCGGAAGGGGATCAAGATTTCTATTTTGTATTTCAATCGTATCAGCAGATTACTTTTGTACTGCAATTAATTTTTATATATATCCTTAAATTGGCTATTCCAGGTTGTTATCTTTATTGAAGTATCCAATTCAGAGACTCTGAACACAGTGGAGATGCAGCAGACTATCTGTGATAGGCTTAATTTGCCTTGGAATGAATCAGAGACAGTTGAGAAACGGGCCAAATTCCTGGTGAAGGCACTGGCCAGGAAAAGATTTCTGTTGCTACTTGATGACGTAAGGAAGAGATTCCGACTGGAGGATGTCGGTATCCCAACTCCAGACACAAAGAGCCAAAGCAAGCTGATCCTGACATCACGATTCCAAGAAGTATGCTTCCAGATGGGAGCACAAAGGAGCCGCATTGAAATGAAGGTTTTGGATGATGCTGCTGCCTGGAACCTGTTCTTGAGCAAGCTGAGCAACGAGGCTTTTGCAGCAGTTGAGTCACCGAATTTCAACAAGGTTGTTCGGGACCAAGCCAGGAAAATATTCTTCAGTTGTGGAGGTCTGCCACTTGCACTCAATGTCATTGGAACTGCTGTGGCAGGGTTGGAAGGACCAAGAGAATGGATTTCTGCCGCTAATGACATTAATATGTTGAACAATGAAGATGTGGATGAAATGTTTTATCGGCTGAAATACAGCTATGACAGGCTGAAACCCACTCAACAACAGTGCTTTTTGTACTGCACCCTTTTCCCAGAATATGGATCTATTAGTAAGGAACCACTAGTTGATTATTGGCTGGCTGAAGGTTTGCTACTCAATGATCGTCAAAAGGGTGATCAGATAATTCAGAGCCTTATTTCAGCAAGCTTGTTGCAGACCAGTAGCTCATTGTCATCAAAGGTAAAAATGCACCATGTAATCAGGCATATGGGGATTTGGTTGGTTAACAAGACAGGTCAAAAGTTTCTTGTTCAAGCAGGGATGGCTTTGTATAGTGCTCCACCAGCAGAAGAGTGGAAGGAAGCTACAAGGATCTCCATCATGTCTAATGATATCAAAGAGCTTCCTTTCTCACCGGAATGTGAAAAGCCTCACTACATTATTGATCCAGAATAACCCAAATTTGAACAAGCTGAGTTCAGGTTTTTTCAAGTTTATGCCCTCCTTGAAAGTGCTGGATCTTTCTCACACTGCAATAACGTCGCTTCCAGAATGCGAGACATTGGTTGCATTACAGCATCTCAACTTGTCACACACGTATTAGGATATTACCTGAGCGGCTGTGGTTATTGAAAGAGTTGAGGCATCTGGATCTCAGTGTCACTGCTGAACTCGAAGATACCTTGAACAACTGCTCAAAGTTGTTCAAGTTAAGAGTGCTTAATCTCTTTCGCAGTCACTATGGTATTAGTGATGTCAACGACCTGAATCTGGATTCCCTGAAGGCACTAATGTTCCTTGGAATCACTATTTATGCAGAGGACGTGTTAAAGAAACTGAACAAGACTAGTCCTTTGGCAAAGTCAACATATCGTCTGAATCTCAAGTACTGTAGAAAAATGCATTCGCTCAAAATCTCCGATCTCAACCACTTGGTGCACCTCGAGGAGCTGTATGTCGAGTCGTGTTATAATCTAAGCACGCTGGATGCTGATGCTGAGCTGACAACTTCAGGCCTGGAGCTCCTGACCCTCTCAGTTCTTCCTATGCTGGAGAACGTCATTGTTGCACCAACGCCCCACCATTTTCGGCACATCCGCAAATTGGCCATTTCGAGTTGCCCCAAGCTGAAGAACATCACATGGGTCCTCAAACTCGAAATGCTCGAGAGGCTTGTCATAACCAATTGTGATGGGTTGCTCAAGATCGTTGAAGAAGATAGCGGTGATGAGGCAGAGACAATGCTGGAAGATAAGTGTATTGATGATGGTCAAAGTGCGTGCAATAGTGGTGACAACACGCATGCAGAGTTCCTGAACCTAAGATCAATCGTGCTGACTGATGTCAAGATGCTGAGAAGTATCTGCAAGCCAAGAAATTTTCCCAGCCTTGAGACCATCCGGGTGGAGGATTGCCCGAATCTGAGAAGCATCCCACTGAGCAGCACGTACAATTGTGGGAAACTGAAGCAGGTGTGCGGTTCAGTTGAATGGTGGGAGAAACTGGAGTGGGAGGACAAGGAGGGCAAGGAGAGCAAGTTCTTCATTCCAATATGACAGAATCCCTTTCTCAGCGGTTGCTGTGTCATTGGCAGGAAGCTTCGTTCAATTCTGGCACGAATAAGCGGATCGGAATCTGTATATGCGACGAATTGTTTTTTACAAGGCAGTCTGTGTATACTGCTTGTGTAGTTGTGTTCACAAACCTGTACATGATTTGATTCATTCATTCATTGCTGTAAATGCGATCAATAAAATTCCGTTTGTCTACTTGATAAAAAGTAGTACTCTATGATAGAGTGCATTCTAGAATTTTTAGAACAAATTAAGAGAGAACATAAAAAACATATGTGTTCTCACTTTATTTCCTAATAAGATGTTATCATCCACACGATTAGTGGTGATTAGTAGATAAATGAAAAGTATTTAATGTAAAACTGATTTCTGTCTTTTAAAATGCCTTATATTTGAAGATAAATTTTGAATGCCAGAATACGCTATATTACAGGACGGAGGGAGTACACCAACTGTTGATGCTCATCAAACCGATGTGAATTGAATTCAGGCCTTGTTTAGTTCATTTCCCAAAAGTTTACACCTTATCCCATCGAATATTTAGACACATGCATAAAGTATTAAATATAGACTAAAAAAATAACTAATTGCACAGATTGCGACTATTTTGCGAAACAAATCTTTTAAGATTAATTAGCCCATGATTTGACAATAAAGTGCTACTGTATACACATGTGCTAATGACGGATTAATTAGGTTTAATAAATTCGTTTCGCGGTTTACTGACGGATTCTGTAATTTAATTTTTTATTAGTATCCGAACACCCCATGCAACACCCCCATATAATACCCGATGCGACACCCCAAAACTTTACGACTAAAACTAAATAAGGCCTCAACCAAATATTCTGTGCATCAGTCGTACTCTATGCAGTTAGGTCGCTGACAGGCGGGCCTGATTGCAGCCAGGTCACTGACAGGCGGGCCTGATTGCAGCCAGGTCACTGACAGGCGGGCCTGATTGCAGCCAGGTCCGCCTGCCTGTGACCCAACTGCAGAGGAACCACTCAAAGCCCTCGCTCGGCGCAAAAGCCTGCCCCGTCAGGCAGTCACCAACTCAAAACCGAACGAACGGCACATGCGGCGGCCGCGGCCGCGGCCGTGCGTACATGCATTCCGCTTCCGCCGCCCTCGTCCGCGCCGCGCCCAAGCCGAGGCCCGAGCAGCATCCTCTTCGCTTCTTTCCGGCATCCGCGAAGGCGGCGGGTGAACCCCACCCCACGGCCTACTACGCCACCCTCCTCGCCTCGCTCTCCCGGGAGTGCCGCCACGCCCATCACCCGTTCGACGCAGGTCCTCACCGAACCCATCAGGCTCGGGCATGCGGGGTCCTGCACGCACGGATCCTGCACCTCGGCCTGCCCCTCCGGGGCCGCCTCGGCGATGAGCTCGTCGACCTGTACGGCAGGTCCGGCCGCGTGGGCTACGCCTGGCGCGCGCTGGGCTGCTGCACCGGGGCTCCAGCGTCAGGCGCGGCGGCGAGCTCGGTGCTGTCCTGCCACGCGCGGTCGGGGTCCCCTCGGGACGTTCTCGATGCGTTCCAGCGTATCAGGTGTTCCATTGGCGGCACGCCGGACCAATTTGGCCTTGCGGTGGTTCTGTCCGCGTGTTCACGGCTGGGTGCTCTGCAGCACGGCAGGCAGGTGCATTGTGACGTGCTGAAGAGCGGGTTCTGCTCCAGTGCCTTCTGTCAGGCGGGGTTGGTGGACATGTATGCCAAATGCGGTGAGGTCAATGATGCAAGGAGGGTGTTCGATGGGATTGCTTGCCCGGACACAATATGCTGGGCAAGCATGATTGCTGGCTACCATCGGGTTGGACGCTACCAGCAAGCACTGGCTTTGTTTTGTAGAATGGAGAAGATGGGCTCTGTCCCAGACCAGGTAACGTGGGTTACCATCATTTCCACTCTTGCAAGCATGGGCAAACTGGCTGACGCGAGAACTCTGCTGAAGAGGATACAAATGCCGAGCACGGTTGCTTGGAATGCTGTCATCTCAAGTTACTCGCAAAGTGGTCTTGAGAGTGAAGTGTTTGGCCTGTACAAGGATATGAAGAGACAGGGATTGATGCCAACTAGGTCCACTTTTGCGAGCATGCTAAGTGCAGCAGCCAACATGACAGCGTTTGATGAAGGTCAGCAGATGCATGCAGCGGCAGTAAAGCATGGTTTAGATGCAAATGTTTTTGTGGGCAGTTCACTGATCAACCTGTATGTGAAACATGGCTGCATCTCTGATGCAAAGAAAGTGTTTGACTTCTCCACTGAAAAAAACATTGTCATGTGGAATGCAATGCTTTATGGGTTTGTTCAAAATGAGCTCCAAGAAGAGACCATTCAAATGTTTCAGTATATGAGGAGGGCTGATCATGAGGCTGATGATTTTACATTTGTGAGTGTCCTTGGTGCGTGCATTAACTTGGATTCCCTTGATTTAGGTAAGCAGGTACACTGTATAACAATCAAGAACCGCATGGATGCAGACTTGTTTGTTGCTAATGCAATGCTAGATATGTACTCAAAACTTGGAGCAATTGATGTTGCGAAAGCACTGTTCAGTCTCATTCCAGGCAAGGATAGTGTATCCTGGAATGCTCTTATAGTTGGACTTGCACATAATGAAGAGGAGGAAGAAGCGGTCTATATGCTTAAAAGGATGAAGTTCTACGGTATAGCACCAGATGAGGTGTCTTTTGCAACTGCAATTAATGCCTGTTCCAACATTCGGGCTACTGAGACTGGAAAGCAGATTCATTGTGCATCTATCAAGTATAATGTCTGCTCAAATCATGCTGTTGGCAGTTCTCTGATTGACCTGTATTCAAAGTTTGGAGATGTAGAATCTTCTAGGAAGGTTTTGGCACATGTAGATGCAAGCAGCATAGTTCCAATAAATGCTCTAATTACAGGTCTTGTGCAGAACAATAGAGAAGATGAAGCCATAGAGTTATTTCAGAAAGTGCTAAAAGATGGTTTCAAGCCGTCTAACTATACATTTGCAAGCATTCTTTCTGGGTGTACTGGACCTGTCAGTTCAGTTATTGGCAAACAAGTCCATTGTTACACACTGAAATCTGCTCTTTTGAATCAGGATACTTCACTTGGCATCTCTCTGGTTGGAATATATTTGAAGTGCAAATTGCTTGAGGATGCAAACAAACTCTTAGCAGAGGTGCCAGATCACAAAAACCTGGTTGAGTGGACAGCTACTATTTCAGGGTATGCTCAAAATGGTTACAGTGATCAATCTTTGGTGATGTTTTGGAGAATGCTTGAGTTACAATGTCCGTTCAGATGAGGCAACATTCACTAGTGTTCTGAAAGCTTGTTCTGAGATAGCAGCTCTTACAGATGGAAAAGAGATACATGGCCTCATTATCAAATCTGGTTTTGTTTCTTATGAAACTGCAGTCAGTGCCCTCATGGACATGTACTCCAAGTGTGGCGATGTTATTTCTTCCTTTGAAATCTTCAAGGAATTGAAAAACAAGCAAAATATAATGCCATGGAACTCCATGATTGTTGGTTTTGCGAAAAATGGTTATGCAAACGAGGCACTTCTTCTCTTCCAGAAGATGCAAGAATCACAACTAAAGCCTGATGAAGTCACACTCCTTGGTGTTCTCATTGCTTGTAGCCATGCTGGTTTAATTTCCGAAGGCCGGGATTTCTTTGATTCTATGAGCCAAGTTTATGGGATAGTGCCCAGAGTAGATCACTATGCATGTCTCATTGATCTACTTGGGCGTGGTGGTCATCTTCAAGAAGCTCAAGAAGTTATTGGCCAGTTACCCTTCAGAGCTGATGGTGTGATCTGGGCTACATACCTTGCAGCATGTCAAATGCACAAGGATGAAGAAAGAGGGAAAGTTGCAGCAAAGAAACTTGTTGAGATGGAACCACAAAGCTCATCCACGTATGTGTTCCTTTCAAGCTTGCATGCTGCGGCTGGTAACTGGGTCGAAGCTAAGGTAGCCAGAGAAGCAATGCGAGAAAAAGGGGTGATGAAATTTCCAGGGTGTAGTTGGATCACAGTGGGTAACAAAACAAGCTTATTTGTTGTACAGGACACACATCATCCGGACACTCTGAGCATCTACAAAATGCTTGATGATCTAACTGGAATGATGAATAAAGATGACAGAATTGAGGAATATGATCTGCGTAGCATGTCTGGAATGCTTACTGGAGGGATAATGACCCTGTTTAACTAATATATCACGCTAAAGGATTAAGGGCCTAGATTGATCTTCTAACTCATCATGGACCTTAAGTAGATGTCTGGTTGTTTAGGTGAGGAATTTGGTACCCTTGCATAGTATATGTAATACATTCACTTATATAAATTAAGGATTTAGGCTTTGATCACTTAATGTTTATATGTTTTATCATCTGGGCTCCAAGCATTAAGATAACTACAAGGTTTATTGGTTTTGTTCAAGGTATCTTTATGAGTTTCTAGTGATGAAATTTGATTTGTGCAGGTTCATTTCTGGTTTTCTTCCCCCTCCATGAAGTTTTTTCTGCTTTAGTTATAAGCCTCTGTGTGCTCATAAGTCATAACTTTTTGTGTATATAGATATGACTGAGATTGTCTGTGAAGGGCATCAGAACGAATAATGCATACTGCCTCACTCTATATGATATGCAAATGGTCCAAGACTCCTAGTTTCTGTAGAAGAAAGAACAGCAGACTGCTATTTCTTATCTGGTAAGGGAAACTTCTATTCAAGTTAATTGGTCAGGGAAGCATCTATTCAAGTTACCTGTTTGACAAACATAGATCAAACAGTCATACTTGTTTTGTTTGACCTCATTACTCAATAATATAGTCAGCTAGTGAATAATTTTATCAAAAGACATGTGAAAAACAGTGGAGTCTGTCTGTTTCAGCAATATACCCTGTTAGTAAAAATCCCAGATCTAGAAAATCAACATATTTTCACAGTTGTTGCTGGCCATGGTTCATTTAATTGACTGCAGACATACTAATTTTTCATGCACTGATTCTAATTAAAGAACGGGTTGTTTGTACTTCATTTTAAGAACTAACTACAGTTAATCACAAAGATTTTTTTTTTCAGAAGTACCATATTTCACAAATTCGTTCCATGATATAGTATTTGATGTTATCTAAAACAACATGTTGCCTTTCAGGATGTATGCTAGCAGTTCAAATTTTTGTACATGTATAAAAGAAATCATGTTTAAAGCACTATTCCAAAACATAGGTGGCAAATGGCTGCATGCTGTGAAATCGGTTTGGTGTTAGTGTTACTGCTATGAACCTTAGTTCATATCGGGGATAGGGAGGATAACCATTGCCAAGAGGAAGGCCGGGCAAAGTCGGTGTGGAGGGAGACTAGAATATTTGGGGGAGACTAGATTGTTTGTTGTTCATTGCTTGATTCTCTCTCAGCCAGTTACAAGTTATAATAGAAGTTCCTGAGTCCTAGCTCCTCGATTCTCTCCTAGCCATTAACTTCTTACTCAATAACCGCAGCTTGCTTCCATTGATTGCATGCAGCTGGTCTGTGCATGTGCCTCCCTGGGTTTTAACTCCCTGATTGGCAGCTTAACTGCCATTGATTATAGCATGCACCTCCCGGATTACCGTTCGGCTGCATCTTGAGCCCTGGGGCGCTTTTGGTACTGGTGCCCCATATCACATCTCTCCCCTTGACGAAAGCAGCTCGTCCTCGAGCCGGAAGCTTGGATAGCGGTCAATGAAGTCGACGACGCCCTCCTGGATCCCATGGGAAGAGCCCAACAATTAGCTTCAAGAAGACTGTTGGGCTGTCCCAATGACACTAAAACAGTGTGAGAATAGAGGAGACGGTCAGTCGTGTGTGGCGTGCCATATCCAACTCATCAAGCTCGGAGAATTTTGGTGAACATTTGCCGCTTGTTGGCACAACCATACCCGTCGTGAGCGCTGGCCGGACAAAGTGTGTGTTGCGGCGACACCCCTAATGATGCGGTGGATGGGATCGTTGAAGGTGCAGGGTTGATCGCGCCGCATCTTCCTTGTGGTGTGCCTTACCAGAATCCTCTCGCCGCCGCTTTGTGTAGCCGCACCGCTGCTTGGAGTTCATGCTCGACTTCTCCAAGTGAGCACGGTAGGCGGTTGAACATCACGACAAGCGATCCATCTCTCTGCGAGACGGCGAGTCCCCTCAACGAGGGATGGTGATGGATGACCGACAATGGCTTATAGGAAAGGATCCCGACTCATGACATGGAGGCGGCGGAAGTCGTTGGTGAGGTCAAGGATGATGGCGTGGTGGTCACTGGGTTTGACGGAGGCGAGCAGAGGGTGAAGAGGAGCGCTGGAAGCCGATACGGATGCTATGAACCTTAGTTCATATCGGGGATAGGGAGGATAACCATTGCCAAGAGGAAGGCCGGGCAAAGTCGGCGTGGAGGAGGAGACTAGAATATTTGGGGAGACTAGATTGTTTGTTGTTCATTGCTTGATTCTTTCTTAGCCGGTTACAAGATATAAATAAAAGTTCTGAGTCCTAGCTCCTCGATTCTCTCCTAGCCATTAACTTCTTACTCCCTAACCGACACCTTTCTATCGCCATTGATTGCATGCACCGGGTGTGCATGCGCCTCCTCAGGTTTAACCCCTAACTGGAAGCTTAACTTGCCATTGATTACAAAGATGCACCTCCTGGATTACCGTTCTGGTTGCATCTTGAGCCCGGGACACCTTGGTACTGGCGCCCCCACATCACGATTACAAGTCCAAAGAAACTGCTTAGTTTGGTCTGTGGCTTTGTCGAACGATCGTAAATTTTCAGCCGAATAGTATTTTTCTCTCACACAAACCAACCAGCAGTACTTCTTCACGAACCAGCAACGAAACGAACCAGCCAACCGAACATGCTGCAGGACTCCTGGTAGGAAAGAACACCAACATAGCTTTTGAGATAAATATTAATAGACATGTTAATTTTACTGGCCTTATTTGGGAGAGTATCCCCTTTCTTAATATGTTTCCATCCCCTATTGTGTACCATAAAAGTATTACACTGTTGCTATGCCTCTGCTTTCTGCAGGACAGCAGTCCACTCAAAATTGCCATCTGAACGCATTCTTCAATTCTGTGGTAAAACTGAATATTTTGCTAATATCTACACATGCTGCTATATATGTTCACAAACAAGGCAGATGTTGCTCTAAGTCTTAACTTGCCATTACTTTCTTCCCATCACAAACATCACATCAAATGGAACCAAGTCCTTCACAGTATGGGCACTTTGTATCTTCACCAACCCACTCCAAGAACTGCATTTTGAGGAAAAGTTAATTTTGAATGCATTCATATAAGGAAGAGCAAAATTTAACTTAATTGATGGTATGATGCATTTGTGCAACAGGAGGCTACAGTACCTGCGGTTCAATGTTTGGCTCACCTGTTCCATCACATTCTGCAGGAAAGAAGAAACAAATTAGGACTAATGAAAAGCAATGCAATGATCCTGCTCACTTTTCAGTACATGGTCGAGAAAAATTAAGGTAAGCATGATAGTCAGTCATTGTTTCACATGTCATTTCTTACTTTACATCAGATATCAAATAGGGATTGAGATCACAATAAAAAGTGTGCCTGAAAACAGTTTCATTGCATTCAGTTTTGTTAGAATTCAGAATAGAGGAACTACAAACACTTGCTATTTTAGGTATCTGACAAAAATCTACGTACTATGGTTCAGGTTCCAGAGATTATGAGTTGTACATACGGAAGCTGAATATGCAGTTGTACACATTAGTGCAACTAGTAGGGTTTATTATGTTAGAACCGCTGCTACTTCCTCTGAGGTTGTAGTCGTGTGACGTGGGAGGGCGAGGCTTGGTCTCTCCTCGGCGGCGGGCGTGCGACGCCGTGCTGGCGGCCGGCGCCGAACACAAGAACAGAGGAGAGGGTTGAGGCTAACAGAGCGGGAGAGATTGATATCAATCTCCAGCTGCCCTCTCATTAAACAAATGTTTAGGCTATATAGCCAAGTGTTCCACAATTCACTAACTGACTAACAAACTTTAGCTGACTAACAAATGCAAATCTGAGATCCTAGACTTGAGGAACTGAAGCCGCTCTGGCCGTGGTCACCATGCAGCCGCATGCATGTCACGCGCGTCGCACGCCGCTCCGCTGCATCCTTAGCCACGGCTCCGCTTGCGGCGCTGGTAGACGTGGCCCACCATAACATCACTCTCGCCGTCGACAAACAGCTCGTCCTCGAGCTGAAAGTTGGGGTAGGCCGCGCGGAAATCGTCGACTGGTTCCCAGGTGGCGTCGGTCTCCGGCAGGCCGGCCCACTAGATGAGCACGTGCCACACCCCACGGCGCAGCTGTGAGCTCAGGGCGCGTTCGGGTGCTTCCAGCAGACGACCGTGGCGCATGGGTGGCAATGCCGGAGTAGCTGTCGGAGGGGCTCCATGGAAGGGCTTCAGAACGCCAACGTGGAAGACGTCGTGGATGCGCGCGTCGTCTGGCAGTCGAAGGCGGTAGGCGACGTCGCCCACGCGCTCCATCACCTGAAAGGGTCCCGCATAGCGCGGACTGAGCTTGCTACGGGCGCTGGGAACCAACGACTGGGCGGGGCGGTGCAGGAGCCGGAGCCAGACCCAATCGTCGAGGTTGAACTCCAGAGGGCGGTGATGAGCGTCGTAGTTGCGCTTGGCGTAGTGCTAGGCTTGCAGCAGCCGGTCACGTACGTCGGCGAGGAAAGCATCGCAGTCCATGAGCATGTTGTCGACCATAGCAGTGCGCGTCGTCGTTGGTTCATAGGGCACCATCGGCGGAGGAGGGCGACCGTACACCACCTGAAACGGGGTGGCATGCAAGGCGGAGTGGAAGCTGGTGTTGTAGTAGTATTCGGCCCACGGGAGCCACTCCAGCCACGCCCGAGGCCTGTCGCTGGTGATGCATCTCAGGTACATGGCGATCGTCTTGTTGACAGCCTCGGATTGCCCGTCCGTCTGAGGGTGAAATGCGGTGCTCATGCGTAGCTGCACACCTGCCATCTTGAACAAATCCCTCCAGACGTGGCCGGTGAAGACGGGGTCTCGATCGCTGACGATCGACGTCGGAAAGCCGTGGAGCCTGACGATGTCGGTGAAGAAGGCGCGGGCGACCGACGATGCCGTGTACGGGTGGCCGAGCGCTATGAAGTGAGCGTACTTCGAAAAACGGTCGACCACCGTGAGTATGACGCTCTTGCCGTGCACCTTGGGTAGCCCTTCGACGAAGTCCAATGAAATGTCAGCCCAAACCTACGAGGGGACGTCGAGCGGCTGGAGGAGGCCGGCGGAGTGGAGCGCCTCAGTTTTGTTCCGCTGGCAGGTGGAGCAGGAGCGGACGAAATCCCGCACGAGCGCGCGGTCACGGTCGACGGCGAAGTCGAGGCGGAGGCGCTGCAAGGTCTTCTGGACCCCTTCATGGCCCGCTGTGTGCGCCAGCTGGAGCACCGCCGGGAGCACACGCGACGTCGCGGGTATGTAGACGCGTGAGCCGTAGAGGATGAGGCCGTCGGCGACACTCCATGGCATGCCACGATCCGCGACAATGGTGTCACGGAGCTGGCGTCGAGCGGCGTCCGCGGCGAGCTCAGCGCGCAGGTCGTCGTAGAGGCTGAAGGTTGGCGCCGAGACAGCCGCCACGCGCGGATCCTCCGGCTCGCGACGCGAGAGCGCGTCCGCCGCAGTGTTCAAGCGGCCAGGGCGTAACTCAACTGTGAAATTGAAACCAAACAACTTACTTATCCATTGGTGCTGCGGGACCGTGGAGAGGCGCTGGTCGAGCATGTAATTCAGCGCGTAATGGTCCGTGCGGATGACGAAGCGACGGCCCCAGAGGTAGGGTCGCCAATGGCGCACGGCCTGTACGAGGCCGATGAGCTCACGCTCATAAGCCGCCACCTTCAGGTGTCTGGCGGCGAAGGGCTTGCTGTAGAACGCGAGAGGTCCCGCGCCTTGGTGCAGCACGGCGCCGAAGCCAGTACCGGAGGCGTCGCAGTCGACGACGAAAGGCTTGGTGAAGTCCGGCAGGTGAAGGATGGGAGCAGTCGAGAGCGCCTCCTTGAGCGCTGTGAAGGCGGCCGTCGCCTCCTCCGTCCAGTGGAAACCTTCCTTGCGTAGCAGCTTGGTCAGGGGGGCCGCCACCGTGCCGAAGTCCTTTATGAAGCGCCGGTAGTACCCGGCGAGTCCGAGGAAGCCGCGGAGACCCCGTGCCGAGGCGGGCTACGGCCAGGAGGCCACGGCCTCTACTTTGTCACCGTCCATGGTTACGCCCGAGGCCGAGATCACATGGCCTAGGTATGCCACCGAGGTGGTGCCAAAGGCGCACTTCGAGCGCTTGACGCGCAACTGGTGCGCACGGAGGACGTCGAAGACGGCGCGGAGGTGTTGCAGGTGCTCGGACCAAGAGGCGTTGTAGATCAATATGTCGTCAAAAAACACGAGGACGCACTTACGAAGGAATTGGCGAAGCACGGCGTTCATCAGACTTTGGAACGTGGCTGGCGCGTTGGTGAGGCCGAACGGCATCACGAGGAACTCAAAGTGCTCGTGATGCGTTCGAAACGCGGTCTTCTCGACGTCGTCCTGGTGGACGCGGACTTGGTGATAGCCGGCACGTAAGTCCAACTTCGTGAAGAAGCGTGCGCCATGAAGCTCGTCGATGAGCTCTTCCACCACCGGGATCGGGAATTTATCTTTCACCGTGTTGTCGTTGAGCGCCCTGTAGTCGACGCAGAAGCGCCATGTCGCGTCCGCCTTCTTGACGAGGAGGACGGGTGCGGAGAAGGGCGAGGTGCTAGGCCGGATGATGCCCTGCTCAAGCATCGCCGCGCACTAAGCCTCCAGCTCGTCCTTCTGGAGTTGCGGATAGCGGTACGGGCGGACTGCCACCGGCGCGGTGTTCGGAAGTAGATGGATCCGGTGATCGCAGGTGCGGGCCGGCGATAGCCCTGTCGGCGCGGCGAAAACGTCGCTGTACGAATCCAGGAGGCGGTCGAGGAGGGCCGGTTCGGAGTTCCGCAGGGCGTGGAGGCGGCTGGTGGAGGGAATGTCCTAGCGCGTCGAGCCGATGCCTTTCTAGAGAATGCGCCGGCCGTGGCGCCAGAACGCCATGCAGAGGTCGTCGAAGTCCCATAGTATGGGACCAAGGGTGCGTAGGTACGTGGTGCCCAAGACGACGTCGTAGCAGTCGAGCGGAATCGCGTAGCAGTCAACGGTGAAGTGCTCCTCGGCAATGCGGACGGCGACGTCGCGCGCGAGGCCGCGGCACGCGACGCGGTCACCGTTGGCGACCACCACGTGGGCGCCCTGGCTATCGTGGAAGTGGAGGCCGACGCGGCGAGCAGCCTCCGTGCTGATGAAGTTGTGCGTGGACCCGGAATCGAGGAGGGCGGTGAGCTCGTGGTTGCCAATGGCGATCGCGGAGCTGCATCGTATCTTCGATCTATGGATACCCGCGATCGCGTACAAGGAGATGAGGGGGGGCATCATCATCCGCTGGTCGCTTCGGACCGACGACTCTGGCCGGTGGTTCCTCTGGAAGCTGCGGCTTGGACTCGTGGAAGTCGGTGACCTCCGTGTAGAAGAGGCGCTGGCACTTGTGCCCTCGGATGTACGGTTCGTCGCAGTTGTAGCATAAGCCTTGGCGACGGCGTTCCGCCATCTCAGTGGGAGACAGACGACGGAACGGCCGTGGTGGCGCCGGTAGGGCCGCCTGAGCAGGGCCCGCAGGTGCTGTCGTCGGTGTCACGGCTGGCGCGGTCGGCAGAGCCAGCGGCGGGTTGCGCGCCGGCGGGCGCGGTGGACGAGCCGCGGGCACCGGTGGCAGGACGCCAGCGCGGCGTTCGTAGGCGCGAGCTAAGCCCATCGCGCGCTGCAGGTCCGTGGGCCCTTGGAGTTCGACGTCGGTGCGGATCGGGTCCGACAGGCCGCCGGTGAAGAGTTGAACTTGCTGGAGCGGAGACAATGGGCCGTCGTGCGCCATCCGGGCCTGGAACGCCTCGTGGTACTCCGCCACAGTGCCCCGGAATGGCAGGCGCGCCAAGTCGGAGAGGTGGTTGGTGGCGAGCGGGGGCCCGAAGCGCTGGTGGCAGAGCGCCTTGAAGAGGGGCCAGGAGATGTTGCTGACGTCGTCCGCGTCGCGCTCCAGCATGTAGTACCAGTGCTGGGCGACGCCGTTCATGTGAAATGACGCGAGCCAGACCTTGTCCACCTCCGGCGTGCGCTGCGCCCGGAAGAAGTGCTCGCATTTGTTCATCCACGCCAGGGGATCTACCGTCCCATCGAACGTCGGGAAGGACAGCTTCTGGAAACGGGGCACACCGCGGGCGTCCGCGTGGCCCTCGTAGTGTCCCGGGGCACCGCGGCCTTCAGAGTGGCCGTCGTAGTGGCTCGGCGGCGGTGGAGGTGGCACGCTGAAGGTAGGGGGTGGCGAAGGAGAATGGGGAAATGGGTTCTGGGTGATGGGCAACGGCGCTGAAGGTACCTGGGGTTCAGCCGACGCCGCCGAGTAAATCACGACGGAGCCGGTTGTTTGCGCCGCAGGAATGCCGCCGTAACCCGGCATGCCATACGGAAACGAGGCGGGGGTTGGACTGCTCGCGGACGGACCGCTGGCGGACGACGAGGCCCGCCCCTCCAGGGCAGACAGGCGCGTGGCGAACTGCCCCATCTGGCGTTGCAGTCCAAGTATGGCGGCGGTGAGGGGGTCTGGGGAGGAGGAATCTCCCGGTGTGGGAGGCGCAGTGGTTTGCGGGAGCGGGGCGGTGGTGGTGGGTGCGGCGGTGGTCGTTGGGTGGATGGGTGGAATGGCGGCGGAGGAAAGGGCGGTGGTGGGAACGCCAGTCATCGGACCTGACATTGCCGATACCAGATTGTTAGAACCGCTGCTACTTCCTCTGATGTTGTAGTCGTGTGACGTGGGAGGGCGAGGCTTGGTCTCTCCTCGGCGGCGGGCGTGCGACGCCGTGCTGGCGGCTGGCGTCGAACACAAGAACAGAGGAGAGGGTTGAGGCTAACAGAGCGGGAGAGATTGATATCAATCTCCAGCTGCCCTCTCATTAAACAAATGTTTAGGCTATATAGCCAAGTGTTCCACGATTCACTAACTGACTAACAAACTTTAGCTGACTAACAAATGCAAATCTGAGATCCTAGACTTGAGGAACTGAAGCCGCTCTGGCCGTGGTCACCATGCAGCCGCATGCATGTCACGCGCGTTGCATGCCGCTCCGCTGCATCCTTAGCCATGGCTCCGCTTGCGGCGCTGGTAGACGCGGCCCACCATAACAATTACCTAAGGCGCCCTTCACCTCGACAGGAGATGCATGTCTTGGTTGATGCAGTAGTGCCGGTGCTGACTGGTTTTTTATTCTGCGTCAGTCTGGCTGGGTCTTCCCACCTGTTTTCACCAAGAAGAAACACTCTGTGTTCGGAGACCCCAACTCCCAAGACACCATTTTCTGTAACCACAGTTTTCTGAACCTCCGCGATCCCTGTTACAGCAGGAACAGCTGCTCCGTTTGTGCCATCCTAGAAGAAAATTGGAATCTCAGTGCACACCCAAACCAACTGTCATGACTCATGACTGCACTACTAAACTTACTGTTCTATGCATCCCGATGTACAAAGCCAATTAGTTTACAAGAAGCTCTTCATGTAACGCAGAAGGTAACTGGAGAGTTTATTCGGTTCCGAAAGTATTTATTTCGTTCTGATTTATATGTGTAACCATGGTTTAGGGTTTAGGGCCTAAATTAATAAATGCTATCACATTGGCCTAAGGGCAGCCCCAATGCACAGTTTCTTGGGTAGTTTCCAAGAACAATAAATTAGTATAGACCTAATTCCTCTCGATGGTTAGTTTCCTGTAACAGTTTCTATAAAAAAAATTACATTTAAGAAGCATGTGTATGTATTAAAAACTGAGAACAATCAGCAGTGGCAAACATCTATGTAGAAATCCATGTTGCACTGTGCTTGCGACAGGGGCCGTGAGAGCTGTGGCAAGCATATGCATGTATTAACATGGCCATCATTCAGGATGATAACAGGCCCACAGGCCGTGAGAGCGGAGTAATCTCTAGAGACACCGAGCGATGCTCATGGTCCTCCGGGGCTCCCTGTCGGAGCTCATCTTCACATCCCCTGTCAGCGTCCGCGCGCGGTACATGGCCCAGTGCAGCGCCGGCAGCGGCGGCGGTACTGGCACAGGAGGACGCCGTGGCCTGATCGGCGACGATCTCCGGCTTCACATCCCCTGTGCTGTTTGACAACGAAACGCAGGAGGACGCCGTGGCCTGGTCGGTGATGATCTCGGGTTCCCAAGGAAAGCACTTGCAGGCAGACACGCGTGCGGGATGGGAAGGGAACCAGAGCGCGCGAGCGAGCGAAACTGGCGGCGGCGCAAGGGATCCCGGGGAGAGAAGGAAGAAACGAGCAGAGTCTTCCCAACGCCGGCTCCCTCGTTTCTTCGCGCATCGATTCACGAGAAGACTCGGTTTCCTCTCTAAGAAACGGTTTCTCTTTTCTTCTTCTTCTCTTTCCATAATAAATCTACTGTCATATCAGCAAATTGCTTAGTTGGCAGGATAATTAATATAGATAGAAATTATCATAAATATACCATTGCGACTGCCCTAAACTCACTTTCATTTTCGCATCTTCCCCCGTCTTCCCTGAGAATAGCCTCTCAAGTAGCTCCGACGTCATGACTCCGTTCTCTGAAGTTCCTACCGTTGCCTGAAAGAGAGTTTGTATCATCAACAGTGGGTAGCATAAATGTAATATAGCGTGAAGGAGTACAGTATTACTAACCTGCCATGTCTTGACAGCTCGCTCGGTGCCAGATGAGAAAGTAGAGTACTCCATGTCTTCCTCGCCCGAGTAAAAACCGAGCTTCAGCAAAGCTTCCTGCGTCACGCAAAAATGCAGTTAGTTTTTGTACTGACAATCATTCGTCTACTACTGGTAAACTATAGTAGGATTCATGAGACGTTTTACAATTTAAAGCTAGCTGTTTGATTGCAAACGCTGCAAAATTTTCTACAGAAAAATCAGGCCGCGTAGAGAGAACATTGTCACCTATACTAGACCCTGGTAACAATCACAGTCCCAGACACAGGGGTGCCCCAACAGGAACAACACTGCTGGGCCGGGCCGTGGCACCTCACTACACACTACCTCAGCCGACGCACCCACCCAGACACACGCACGGCGTGCAACACGAATCCTAGCCAGAACGAGAGGCCTGTGACGACGCTCACCTGCATCGCGCGCACGTCCTCGCCCTCGGCCCCCGCCCTCAGCGTCCTCCTGCTCTTGCCGGCACCTGCGCCGCTCCCCGCCTCGGCCTTGGCCACCACCGCCACCTTCTTCTCTTCGACCACCACCACCTCCTTCCTCACCTCGACCGCGGCCGCCTCGATGAGCACCGGCCTGGGCTGCGGCAAGGGCACCGCGGCCGGGGGCGCGGGCGAGGCCACAGCGTCAACGGCGACCGCGAGGTGATCCGCAGGGTGAGTCCCCTCGAGCGCGCGGAGGCGGAGCCGCAGCGCGGCGACCTCGGCCAGGAGGGCGTCGCGCCAGCGCGACTCCTCGCGGAGCCACCGCGCCTCCTCGCGCTCCTCCCAGGACGAGGAGGGACCGGCGGCGTGGGCCGGGACGACGGCGGCGGCGCGGCGCGGGCGGTGGAAGGTGGTGGAGACGAACGGTAAGGCGGTGGCCGCGCCTTCTGCTGCGGCGGCGATCATCGTCGGGGAGCAGGCGGTGGTGGGTCACCGGGACCGGGAGTGAGCGAGCGAGCGACGAAGTGGCGGGCGGGTGCGAGGAGACTAGCCGTGGATATTTCTCGGCCGCGGTGGTTGATATTTGCCGCCGGAGCTACTACTGTGACTGCAATTCCACTCTGCAAAGTGTGGCGTCGCGCGCGCCCGGCCAGGCGGCCATGTACAGTGGGCCGACCGAATCGAGCTTGGGCTGGTCAGATCAGATGGGCCGATTGGGGCTGCTCTTGCTCAATTCTTTTTGTATGAGGCTGGGCCAAGCTGGAGCATAGCAGTAGCAGCAGCCCAGAAGAGAAACTGGAAAGCCATGACATTTTCGTGGAAAGAGGTCATGACCATGAAAGCGAATTTTCTAGGGAAAGAGGTGTTGAACTCATAATGTGACGTTTCAGAGTACTTGTCGAGTACTGCAGAAGGATGCCAAGATAAGACACGAACGGTGATCGATTGCTCATGAGTCACGTTAGGTGTACATACATCAACATCATCCTGGAGAAAACATCTGACAGCCGAAAGCATACGCGCTGCGTTGGAGCTCCAAATCCAGATTCCCCTGCTACCCGGGGTTGGTGGCGGTAACTAGCCTGACACGGTGATGACAGTGAAACTAAAACGCAGCGCATGTGACACGGAACCTGGACCGATGCATTGGACGACGACGCAACCCGGGGGTTGGTGGCGGTAACTAGCCTGACACGGTGATGACAGTGAAACTAAAACCGTGCCCAGCCAGGCAGTTACCCACAGTCGCACACAGTACCCGTGCCGTGTTTGCCTGCATGCCCAAACCAGTGGCCAGCAGTCCTGCCGCCCGTGCCCCGTGGTCGTGGCTGGTTGCTTTCGATAGTTCCTTCTGCCAGTAGTGCAGTCCTCAGTCACAGGCCATGACTAGCGCGCCGGCGGAGACGGCAACGCAAGCTGGAGCTCGTCAAGGATAATCTGAGGTAGACTTTCTGTCCATGCCCATGATCTTGGCGGGCCGCGATCTCCGTGCCGTCTTTGCGCCCTTGTGCTTCGAGAGATGACATCGCTTTCACGTGCGCCACGCGAGCGCAGCGGGGCGCTTTCGCTGTCGCCCCCAGTACCCACCGGCCTGACCGGCGGGACTCGACCGACCTACCTCACATGGTCGCGTGCGCGATCCATCCAAGCAACGAGTTGCCGAGCCGAGTCACACGCACGCACGCAGGACAGCCGCCCATCTGACTTCTTGTCCCAGGACGAGGCGAGCACCTTTAAATACGCGACGCGACACTGCGACAGCAACAAGAGGAGGCGTTCAGAGTCACGTCGGGGGCGGTGCCTTGCGGAGCCAGCGGCAGGGAGCTAGGGAAGGGGAAGCAACGACGACGTGCCCCGCGATGGCTACGGCGAGAGCCATTGCCGCAGCGGCGACGGCGCTGGCGGCCGTGCTGGTGGCGCTCCTCGCGCCGGCAGCGCGCGGGGTCGATCGCAGCGAGTTCCCGCCGGGGTTCCTCTTCGGCGCCGCGACGTCAGCGTACCAGGTGAGTCACGAGCGCCCGGGGTGGGTTGCTAATTAACTTGCTGCCGGCAACCGGCTGTCTAGCTCCGGCCGGCAGCATCTCTTTCGCTCCTGCACACACGCCGTTCCCTTGAATTGAGGGCGGACGGACAATCGGTGGGTGCCGCCCGTCTGACAAGTGACAAGTGTATGTCTTCTTCCGCCGCCTCTGCCAGATTGAAGGCGCGTACCTGGAGGACGGCAAGGGCCTCTGCAACTGGGATGTCTTCACCCACACACACAGTGAGTCATTTCTTAGCTCGCCTCTGCTCGAATGCTCTCTTGCTCATTCATAGTGTGCCATGGCCATTAACGCTTCGAAAAGAACTGAAAGTGAGAGTTTTCGTCCCTGCTCGGTGTCTGCGAAACGCCGATAACATCAGTCCATCTCTCTCTTTCATCACAGTTGTTACTGAAAGCTCCCTTAAGAAAAATCCTTGCTTCTCCTCTTTTTTTCCAAAATAAAAGAACAAACTTTCGCCCACCAAACAAATGTTAGTAGTAAGCAAGATTCGTCCTTGTGTTCTAATCATCTGGATGATTAGTACTACTTGCTGAATGGTTCGTAAATTCTGTACTCCCTCCGTTCCATAATAGAAGACTTTATAGTATTCAAATTTTATTCTAAAATACTTGTCCTTCTCACTTCCGAATTCATTTTTCTTCTTCAAAATACAACTTTCTTATTTACCAATAATATATTTCTCTCAATCTCTCACCTTCTAATTTCTATGTACGGTACTTCTCTTTTCTCCTTAACTTCCGTGTCCTGACTTAGAAGGTCTTCTGTTCTATTACGGGACATCGGGACGGAGGAAGTACATGACAGAGACGCACGCAGAAAATGACCTTTCGCCGGTGCAGGCATCCGTTCCACCAATATTCAGAGGCGAACAAGAAAAAAAAGCATCAGCTTTCTCACAGTTTAGCTTACAGACAAAAGAAGCATCAGGTCTTTTCGGACATAGAGAAATCCGTATTATTATCCAGTGATGATGTCTCACTGGGCACTACGGCCTACCACTACCACACACTCCCTCCGAATTTGTCCGCAGCAAACCGCTTGGTTGCTTCCTCCGGAAATTGCTGATGCAACTGCTCTATCTTATCCTTCCCTTTTGGGTCTGGGTAGGCTTAGCCTGTCGAGCTGTCGTGTTCGTCATCCAAACAGATACAGCTTACCTAAGATTTTGGAGCGTCTCGATCAGTCCATAAGTAGTTACGTACGTACTGTATGTATTATTTTTTCTCGAATATACGCAAAAGACTTTGCGCGTCATTATAATTAAGAAGAAATGTTTAACCATACAAACGACGACCTCTTACGAGCGCCCTAGGAGGCCTACCGGTCGACCGTCCTAGTACTGTATGTATTATTAGCGATAACAGTTTATTCAAGGCCCTGCTTTCGCTCTTCTGTAGCTGGAGGGATCATGGACGGACGCACCGGGGACGTAGCTGACGACCACTACCATCGCTACATGGTAAAGATCACAGAAACTCTGACGCCTGGTTCATGTCGTGCATCCATGCGTATGTGATGGTGACGCTGCCACCTGTTTGTGAATTGCATGTGAGCAGGGAGATGTGGAGATCCTGCAATCGCTGGGCGTCAACGCCTACAGATTCTCCATCTCATGGGCGAGGATTCTACCAAGTACGTGCCAAGATCGATCGGATTGCTCATAATAAGTTAGCAAAGCTTTGCCTTGTCGGCTGCTCGATGATCGATCGGTTCCTTACTTTGATGTGGACAACGTGCTATTTGTAGGAGGCCGGCTTGGTGGCGTCAACGCAGGTGGGATAGCCTTCTACAACCGCCTGATTGATACGCTCCTGCAGAAAGGTAGGCTGTCCTTGTCCTCCGACATCCCGCAGGCACAATCTCCCGCTACGGTTGTACTCGTATCCATCTCAATCTACTCCGAGTCTTCGACACAGGTGGTGGATACGAGTGCAGCTAAACAAGCACGTACACTTAGATCTCAATCAGAGCAAGTTCACATGTTTGGTTTCTATATACTTATCTACTAATTAATCAGGGATCCAGCCATTCGTCACTCTGAACCACTTCGACATGCCGCACGAGCTGGAGGTCCGATACGTCGGCTGGCTGGGCGCTGGGATCCGGTACACTTTCCATCTTGGCTCTAGTAGTCCTTGTCCTTTTGCCATGTATATTTCCAGAGACTCGGCAGTTTCAGTCATGCATGAATAACAAATAACAAATACTTACGCAGGGAGGAGTACGCGTACTACGCGGACGTCTGCTTCGGGGCGTTCGGCGACCGGGTGAGGTTCTGGACGACGTTCAACGAGCCCAACCTGCTCACCAAGTTCCAGTACATGCTAGGCGTGTACCCTCCCAGCCACTGCTCGCAGCCGTTCGGCAGCTGCAACAGCGGCGACTCGCGCAGGGAGCCGTACGCCGCGGCGCACAACATCATCATGTCCCACGCCGCCGCCGTCCGCAACTACAAGGACAACTACCAGGCGAAGCAGGGCGGCTCCATCGGGATCGTGACCGCCATGAAATGGTACGAGCCGCTGACGAATGCCACGGAGGACATTCTGGCGGCGCGACGCGCGCAGTCTTTCGAGACCGAGTGGTACGTCGTCAGTCTTCACAAATATGTCATATATATGCAAGAATTCTGTCGAGTGCATGCACATATGTATTGTTTTTTGTTTTGTTTTTCAGGTTTTTGGACCCGATATTCTTCGGTGATTACCCCAGAGCGATGCGAGAGATCTTGCAATCAAACCTGCCAACCTTCACCGCCGAGGAGAAGAAGCTGCTGCTGCGATACGAGCCGGATTTCATCGGGCTGAATCATTACACGGCGATTTACGCAAAGGACTGCATCCATTCCCCGTGCAACCTTCAGACATACGAAGGGAACGCGTTTGTCTCGGCGACCGGGGAAAGAGACGGGGTGAAGATCGGGAGAGACGTAAGAACTAGCACATGGCATATACGTACTAATCATCAGCGCAGTCCTTCATATATTGTTCATATACACAGTACTTCTTGTATATACTTGCTTCATTACTGTTCATATACGGTGAAATTTGCGGCGCGCTGTCTCTGATTTGTATTGTAAACCTCTCGCAGACTGCGCTGGTAGGTTTCTACGATGTCCCAGAAGCCATAGAGCCGGCTATCATGTATGTCAACGGGAGGTACAAGGACACGCCTGTGTATATCACTGAGAACGGTGAGCTACAGCTTTTGCTGCCCGGGACCTAGGGATCGATGTCTTGGTCCAGAGTCATTTCCATGCATGCATGATCAATGGTCATATGTTCTGAGATATATATACTTTTTTTTTAGGGAAAACAGGAGGGGATGCCCCCTACTGCATTTTATTAACTTTATATACAAATACAAGTACAATCCTCGTCATGGGACAAAGAAAGAAACAAAGAAAATAAGAAGGATTACACAAAGTTGTCTAGCCATAATTGAATCTGTAAATGAAGATCATCTTTAGCTCTGAGTCTAGCTAATTCTTGTTTGAAGACTAGTTTGCAAGCTTGTAAGGATGGTTGTTGATTTCTGAAGATGGCATCATTCCTGACAGACCAAATAGCCCAAAACATTGCAACAATAATTTCCATGAAGAAAGGCCTGTGTATTTGGGCTTTGAACAAATCTAGACAATCAAGAATATTCCCCTGAATTAGTTGTGCTAGCCCCAACAAATTCCAGCAGGACAAGGCAAAAGGCCGGGCAATCTAAAAAGAGATGATGTAAGGATTCCTCTATGTCCAGATGATAAAGAACACAATTATAACTTTGCAATTCCATATTTCTCCTTTTCAAGATTTCCCTGGTGCTTATTCTAGCTTTTAGAACAAGCCAAAAGAACACCTTCCTTTTTGGCAAACAACATGAATTCCACAGCCATTTATATACAGGTGGAACTGACACAGAACCCAACAGATGAGAATAAGCCTTATTTGAAGCAAAAAGAGAGGATCCCCAAATATAACTCCAAATGTCCTTGCTTTGGGTAAGCTGAAAATCACCAAATTCAGAGTTCATCAGTAAATATTGTTGATGTGCCTCCACTGAAAGAGGTAAATGAAAAAAGACAGACTTGTCTTCAGCAGCCATAATTTGTTGAACTAATGTGTGTTCCTCATGAGCAAAAGAGAATAGGTGTGGCCATTGTTCACTTAAAGGAGCACCATGCCAGGCATCTGTCCAAAAGAGGCTAGTAGAACCATCACCAACCGTAACTTAAGCCATACCCTTATAAGAATTAAGCAATTTCAGAACATCTTTCCACCAAAATGAACCCTTTCTATAATGTAAAGCAAAGCTTCCATTGTAATGAGAGTGCCAGACTAGCTGAATCCAAGGTATGTCACACTTGTTGAAAAACTTATGAAGGTGCTTGAGTAGCAAACTTTCATTCTGTTCTGATATATATATACTTGTTTTCAGGTTTCTCACAATGGAGTGATGCCAACAGGGAAGAGCTGATCAACGACGTGGCAAGAAAGAATTACCTGCAGGGCTACGTCACATGTCTATCCAAAGCAGTCAGGTGACATGAAGCTTACCAACAACAATCTAGAAGAATTGCTGTAACTTGTTTGCTTCCGTCTTATATGATATAGCAGTGCTCCTGCTAGTTCTTCCAAAAAAAAAAAAAAACAATCTAGAAGAATTTAGTGTCTTTTTTCCATGGGTTCCGTTCACCTAGATCTCATGATGATAAGCTAGCTACCAACCAGAAGTAGAGAATCATCTAGCAATTTTTTCTCTGACGAAATTTCAACCTGTCGACACTGAATACATGCAGGAACGGAGCAAACGTGCGGGGCTACTTCGTGTGGACGCTCCTGGACAACTTCGAGTGGGCGTTCGGTTACAGCCTGAGATACGGCCTCTACCACGTCGACTTCGACACCCAGGAGAGGACGCCCCGGATGTCTGCGAGGTGGTACAAGGGCTTCCTCACAGGCGACACCAGCCTGATGACCGACGAAGCGCAGGCACGGAGAGCAGACTCGTGATAGATGCCTTCCAGTTCCAGCGATCGAATGCATTGCTAGACAACCGCAGGCCTCAGGGCTACTGGTGCTCGTCTCCTTCCTCGCGATATTAGAATGCGTGTGGTGTCCTAGTGTGTGTGTATATAGATAGATATGGGCATAATTAGAAAAGGTAGTGCTGCATAGTGGATCATGCTGCACTGCTGCTGCTCGATGGCTTTCCGATTTGTACTAGATGCTGGCAGGTAGATGCTCTCGATCAGACGATCTGAATGTCTGCCTGATCATGGGTGTTGTAGTTCATAGACGGACGCCCAGCCCATTTCTGCTGCTGAGAAACGCATGTTCCATCTCTCTCAGCTCGACCTCACTGTCGTCGTTACGATCCAAGTATCCAAAGCATTACCGTTGGTCATAAGGAAACCGTGCGAGCGTGTACGACGAAAAGAAGATGACATGACACGTGTCCGGACAGGGATTGGCCAGCTGAAACAGGCGGGGTGGTGTGTGTGTGTGGGTGGGTGGGGGTGTTGTTCTTGCGTCAGCGTCAGGTCCCTTGCAAAATCTCATTCTCAGACCTCACTGTCGTCATTACGATCCAAGTATCCAAAGCATTACCGTTGGTCATAAGGAAACCGTGCGAGCGTGTACGACGAAAAGAAGATGACATGACACGTGGCCGGACAGGGATTGGCCAGCTGAAACCGGCGGGGTGGTGTGTGTGTGTGGGTGGTTGGGGGTGTTGTTCTTGCGTCAGCGTCAGGTCCCTTGCAAAATCGCATTCTCAGTGCCAGGCTGCCGGCTGTGACGTACCACGACAGCTACAGCCCACAGGATCGGCAAGTGCGCGCGCACGAAAGAAAGCTCGGGGTTCTAATTTGACAGAAACTGGGAGAGCTTCAGAACTGTTCGCATGATCGTTTATGTGGCTTATAAGCCGGCTGATGCTGTTTTGTTGTAAAAGAAAAACACTGTATAATGATGGATAAGCAGCGAAGAATAGCAGCGGCTGCGGGAGCGGCGATGGGGGCCGAGGTGGTGTGGCTCCTGCTCTAGCTCGCTCACGAGCTCCTGCCGTGCCCGTGCCCGTGCGCCTCGGCCCTCGACCGCGGCCAGTTCCCTGACAGCTTCCTGTTCGGGACATCCACCTCCGCATACCAGGTAATATACGATGACTACTCCTAGGCAGGTCGACACCCAGGCAACCATCGCAGCCCTGAAGTTTCTGAGATCAAACGCGTGCAGGTAGCGCTGCTGCTGCCATGCAATCTTGCTTGAGCGTCAACCAAACGGCTCCAAGTCTTGTCAATGACTAGCAATTGGGTGCCTCGCTCTTTGTTTTCGCCTTGTTTTGTTAGATAGCAAGAGAATAGAGATGCTGCTGCGCGAGTAGCTCGGAAAAGTAGTTGGCTTGCGGTCTGCACATGGAGCTTTTAGAGGGAGCAGTGTTATCTGTCGCTCAGGCGACTTAACAAAGAAACATTTTTTCCCTTCAATTGCAACAGTTTTACCGACATAGAACATTTTTCTTGATTGAGAACAACTATATATTTGTAAGTGCAAAGAACTGAAAAGTTAAAAAAAATTAGAATTGATGACGTGGTTGTAAAGCATCCGAGAAGTGCTTAAAACAATTCATATAAACTGATTTTGGTTGAGATAATTCCTATAGAAAATTCTTTTTTACTTATGATGGATTAGCTATACTTCCATGTGTATATCTCAATATTTAATGTTGAAGGTGTATATAACCCGACAAAGTGCTCAAATCATTTTTTAGAACTTGTTTCTCCATTTTTTTCTACATCCTAAAAAAATCTCTTGTCACGTCAATAAAATACTTATCTGGTAGAATAATTAATATATTTAGAAATTAGAAATTATTATAGCTTCGGCATTAGGAGTGCCATAGAATAAGATTTATTTAGTAAAATTTATAGATTCGGCTCAAATAGCCTCAAACAAAGCCATCAACAATTTTGGCTGCACAATGGTCAACCTAATTCCGAACCCACTTGAGTTGGCCCATCTACGTTGGCCTCGACCTCGACAGAGAATCTTCGTGCCCAATCCGATCCAATTCACCCTGTCCGAGTCTTATCTCCTAGCGGATTCCCACTCCTAGATAGAGATGGCAGCGGGTCAGATAAGGTGCGTATAAAGTATTTACTCGTTTGTGAACATAATCATGATCTAGCGTTTATCCGCCAGTAAGGATGTCCGTGGGCAAGGTTTGGTACCCGTGTCCGCACCGACGTGTATCCCGCAGGTATCCCGTCAAAGTGACATGAATAACAAATTCATAGTTAAACAACATACAAATATGTCAAGCTCACTTATATAGAGTTCACTAGGACAATATACAATAGTTCACAATCCATGATACATTAAATTTCAAAGTTTGGTCCTTTGTGCTCAAAGAAATAACACAACACAACTTACACAAGAACTAAAGCTAGTAATAAGTTAATAGCTCACACAATGACACAATCAATTTATTCAGTCATCCATGAAAAATATCATCTTTGTAATTCGATATGCTATGCTATAAATTACATGTTAAATGGGTCAGTCGAAATAATATGCATATAACACATATTACAGATATTCATGTTTATTATCAAATTACGGGTACCCGTCGGCGGGTACCCGCGGATAAAAATTTAATACCCACATCTTTACGGGTATCCAACCCCCATATACCAGCGAGTGAGTTTTCATGTCCATATCTACACCCATTGGTATGAAACCTGCACCCGCACGGGTAGGCTTGCCATCCCTAGCCGGCTAGGCCTGGAGCCATCGGGTAATTGCAACCAAGCGCACGAGGGCGTTGCAGAGCAAATTGAGTGCATACTTCTGTTCTTCCTAATTGAATCACAGCGGCTAATGGCGTGCTCCCAACCCCATGCCAATAGATAGACGTTTCGTGTTGTACTGGGGGTGCTGGCTAAATTAGTGGAGGTGGCAAATCTAAAATTATTCCATTGTCCTATACTCCCATCTTGGATTATTGGTCTTTACGTTATATATATAACATTTAATATATTGATTAATTAAATCAGATTGAAGGCGCATATTTGGAGGGTAACAGAGGCCTTAGCAATCGGGATGTATTCTCCCATAAGATAGGTGAGGAATGATAATTTGCATCACCGTCCACTTTCATTCAGGGGATAACTCCTTTCGTGTCAATAGTCCTTTCCCTTTCTTCCTCTGTGTTATCTTTTATGTTTCTTCAATCTTTAATACTGGGTTCAGGTACAATCGAGGATGGAAGCAACGGTGATACTACTGCTGATCACTATCATCATTACATGGTAAACTTTTTTTTTCCTTTTTGGCTACATGCAAATTCTTTTCTCTCTTTCTCTCCCCCAAAATGCAAATAGTATCCATGGAGAATTTATTGAATAATTAGTGCACGAAATGAATTTCTATGCCAGTTATATTGTTCATTAGGTGAATCCTACCCATTCAACTACTACCTAAGATTGGAACCATGTTTTTTCTGCTCCAGGAAGACATTGAATTGATGCATTCCTTGGGTGTCAACTCATACCGATTCTCCATATCGTGGACAAGAATTCTACCAAGTGAGTTTAGAATACTTAACTAATACATTACTTGCTTATGTAAGGAATTTATGGTTCACTTGGAAAGTCGATTGAACAAAATGATTTTATAATTAACTTTTTGTTGCAGGAGGCCAATTCGGACATGTTAATCTAGATGCCGTAGCATTCTACAATGACCTTATTGATGCACTTCTGCAAAAAGGTATTCCTACAGAATTTGTGCAATGAAAACACAAGAGTGAAATGCACCAAGGGTCCATAAACTTTTCATGGATTCTCACTTGGATCCTCGAGCTAAAAAAGTGATCATCTGGGTTCTCAATCTATTGTGGTTTCTCATCTAGATCCTCAAACTAAAAAAAGGAACCATTTCGGTCCCTCAACTAATGCTACGTCTGAGCAAAAGGTCCAAATCCCACCACATCATCTTTATATGCCTGTGTGGTTGTGTCAGCGTGAAACTTATAGAAAAAACCCTCCCTCCCCCTCTCCTCCCCGTCCACTCCCTCCTTTGTCCCATCGATCCCATTCCCACACCCCCCTCGTGGTTGCGCCCACGTGCTCGCCTGTGCTGCCTGCCAGCTGGTTGCACCCAGCCGGCCTTGCAGCTATGCCTGCACTTCGGAGGCACACACTCAGTGGCCATAGAATAGACAATGAGAGGTGGACTGCAAGATAAAGGGGGACTACAAGGGGAAAGAAATGGAGAGGGAGTTTTTTTTTGCAACTTTAACCAGCACGGCCATATAGGCAGTTGGCGGTGGCATGGTGGGTTTTGGACCTTTAGTCGAGCGCAATAGTAGACTAGGGACCCGGATGGTCACTTTTTTAGTTCGAGGACCAAAGTTAAAATTAGCAATAGATTGAGGATTAGAGGACCCAACTGAGAGTCTATGGAAAGTTTAAAGATCTAGGGTACATTTTACTCAAAACATAATTTTGAAGACATGAGTATGAGTTGTTAATTGCATTTATAAATAGGCATACAACCGTTTGTAACAATATCACATTACGACATTCCACAAGAACTGGAAACGCGATATGGTGGATGGTTGAGCCCAGAAATTCAGTATGCCTGTTTCTATGTCATAAAGGTGTATTATATTTTCTGATTATTTGATTTATCTGACTTCTAAATACCTTCCAGGAAGGACTTTGGCTACTTTGCATAAGTATGCTTCATGATGTTTGGTGATCGAGTAAAATTTTGGATGACATTTAATCAGCCAAATCTGTTCTTGAAGTTCAGTTATATGGATGGATGGTACCAGTCCTCTTGGACTTATGATATTCTTATCCTTGTCTCGGTGCTAATCCTAAAAAACAGCATCATTGAAGCTTTCTAAATAAATATTTGTAAAAGAAATATACCCTTGATATCTTTGCCATTCTGTAGGAGAAGCAAGGTGGTCATATTGGAATTTCTATTTGCGCAAGATGGTACGAACCATTCCGGAATACCACAGTAGACATCTTAGCAGTTGAACGTGCTTTATCTTTTGGTGGTCCATGGTACTATTCTTTCCCTTAGCATGGTAATTGACACTTAGTAACCTAATCCTAAATCCTAGATTGTAATATAATTATTTGATTGCCTCATTTGTTTAATTATATATGCTAGGTTTTTGGATCCTATATTTCTTGGTGATTATCCCGTAGAAATGCGCAAGATCTTAGGTTCAAACTTACCTGAATTCACATCCGAACAGAAGAAGAAATTAAAGGCCACAAGATTGGATTTCATTGGACTAAATCATTATACGACATTATATTTGAAGGACTGCATCTTCTCACCATGTGAAGTAGATCCTGTTGATGGGGATGCTCGAGTTTTTAGTTCATCAGTAAACGATGATGGAGTACTTATTGGTGAAGCGGTAAATATATACATAACTGCTGAATATCAATTTATTTGAGCTCGAAATATGTCATCGTCCTGGTGGTGGTGAGGAGGTTCCTAAATTCCTTCCCCACTTGTGTTCGAGTCATAGGAAGTGAGGAACAACTAAACTGACCATCTCCTTCTTTAGTGAGTGCAAAGTTTCAATTGATTTTGGAATTGACAAAATGGAAAACTAATTCGTTTGAAACCCCTGCTTGAAGGGAATAATCAAGTGGTAATTGTTGTGGTTGCAATCATTCATGCAGACAGGAGCGCCGTTCTACTATTCTGTTCCAGATGGGATGGAACAAGTGGTCATGTATTACAAAGAAAGATACAATAACATACCAACCTATGTTACAGAAAATGGTATGGCTTCTTTCTGTTAGTTTATTTTATAAGCTGAAATTGTTGTTATTTAATATTTGTAGAAATAACGTTATATGCTTTTTATCTCACTAATTTGAATAGGACACTGCCCAAGCACACAATCCACTCTGTGTGATGCTGCTGCATTGCCAAGACACTGACACTTTGGTTTGATATTATAGATAAGAGCCCTTTTACAATGGTTGGAAACGCTTTCTGACGCCTACCCAAAATAGTTATTTTTGTTGATTTTTATTCATCAAGGACAATATCGTCACACCAAGTGCAAGTGGTGACTGAAAAAAAAAGTTACCTTTGGCGAGGACGTCGGCATGGTCGTCGGCCCCGGACCCGAAGACGTGCACGGCGGCACTGGTGGCGCGCTCGGAGACCGGGGAGGCGCTGGAGCTCCAGACGGGCATGTGCAGGTCCTTCCTCTTGGCCGCCACGGCCACGGCCTGTGGCTGCGGCGAGTGCCCGCCGGGCGCTTCTTCTCCTCGTCCCCGCTGCCCGCCGCCGCTCCTCCTCCTCCCTTGGCACCGGCGCCCGACGATGTTGAAGAAGTCGGCGTGGTTGAAGCTGGAGCTGCGCGCGGGTGGGGTTGCGCGACGACGCAGCGAGTAGATCTCGGCCGGAGAGGTTGGAGACCCGGGCTGCATGGACTGCGAGTGGGAGTGGGAGTGCGAGCACGCGGCCTCGGAGCGTGAGCTGGTGGATTTGGCGCACGGTGACCCGCACTCAGTATGGTGTCGCCGCCCCGATCAAGGAGGCGCCGGCGGCGCGACGGGGACGGCGTCGGCCTCGAGCTCGATCTCGCCCCGGCAAGTGAGACGACGCCGGAGTCGACACGGAAGGAGACGGCGATGAGGCGGCAGCGCCGTCCGGGAACTGGTCGAAGCACGAAAAGGCGCGCGCGGTACTCGAAGAGGAAGAGCATGAGCGTGTACCAGATGTTGCACCGGAGGACGACGACCTGGACCATGAGCGTGCGGCGCCGGTGGAGGCGGCGGAGGACGAGGACGCTGCCCGCTTCTGTACATGCCGCGAGCAGCGGGATGCCCATGACGAGCGTGTTGGGGAGCGTGGAGAGGAGAAGAGCGTGATGCTCGGTCGAGGCTGAGGAAGTGAGAAGAGGAAAGGCGGAGTCGAGGAAGAGGAGGAAGAGGACGGCGAAGCTTCTTGCAGCGTGTCGGCGACGAGGAAGCGTGGGTTCATGGTGAAGGGGTTGTTGGTGGAGATGAAGTGGAAGCAGAGAGAGCCGGGGGCGAAGAGCACCACGAAGCGGTTGATCCCGAGCACTGGTCGGGGTGAAGATCCGCCAAAGAGCGGACGGAGCCGTGAGGCTAGCGCCATGGCTACGCATAGCGGTACCACCGCCGCCAACACGTGGTACAGGTCCAGCGCCGTGATCATGGCTGCGGACGACGGGCGAATCGAACTCGACGAAAATATTCATCTTTTTTTAAACCAAATATTCACTATAGTACTTAAATTATACATCCCAACTATACTACTCAAAACATTATTTTTACAATTGTGGATTTACCGTTTTACCCTTGATTAAAAAAATAACTAAAAAAAAGGAATTGCCACTCTTTTATTTGAAGTCCTAATCCTCTCAACTTTGAGGCGTTGGGAGGCGTTACGACGCATATGGGTCCACTGACCATAGACACATCTAACGCCTCCCTCATTAACGCCTCTCAACGTCTTCTCTCATATGGGTCCACCAATTATAGACACATCTAACGCTTTCTGGTGCCTCCCTAACCATAGTAAAAAAGTTCTATAGATAAAGATGCCACTTTCCACAAAAAGAAAGAGAAACAAAAGAAAAAGGAAGATTTATTTGCATATGGATATAGATAGTTTGGTGTAATATTTCTGCTCTCCTTGCAGATTTTTTCCCTGATAAAGGCCTATCATTTCCCTCCAATGAGATCAGAACAGAAACAAATAAAATGAAACAGAGAATTATTCTTGTATTTTTATTAGGGATGACAATGGGTCGTGTAAGGCGCGGGTGGAGTTAAAACCTGTCCTCGACAACGCTAACGATATTTGGCTACATCTGCCCTCAATGAGACATGCGGGTGCAATGTGACACTCGCACCTGCACCCTTGGGTGACTCGTGGGTCTCGGGTCGCCCGCGGTTGTGTTAATAAAAAGCTAAAATATAACTGAAAGATTATAAAATTTAAGGAAAAATTACACATAAATTAAAAGTTTATCATTGCCAATGAATTGAAAGTTCACAACAACTTAAATTTAGTCTAGTACATACTATGTAGACAACATAGTCCATACAAATCATTCTAAGTTGTACTTGTACTTGTGCCAAGCGTTAGTTTTATACCTCTAATTGGAGTGCGAAAAAATAGAAAAACATAGTTTCAGGCCCTGTGGGACACCCGTGGGTGAAATATGACACCGCACCCAACCCGACATCTTTGCAAGCCTCGACCCAAAGACACCTGCGAGTCCGATGTTGCACCCGTACCCATGGGTGTGATTGCCATCCCTAATTTTTATCCTAGTTTTAGTTGATCGACTGTAGTGAAGATTAATCTGGATCACTCTCTTGAAAGCCTGAATCGATACTATGTTACGATGAAATACTACAACTCCACCACTGCATCAAAGCCTGCCTTCCTATTATGAAAACTAAGAAAGTTAGTCTAGCTCAACTCAAAATTTGGGTGTTATTTCTTATACCTAATGAAATTTCATCCAGTTCCTCATAGGTCGGATCTCCCTGTCCTTTGTATAAGAGTATGTTTGGTACAACTTTTGCACCAGCTTCACAAAGCCGTTTTTTAGCTTCTCCTACCAAACAGGTTCTCATGAAACAACTTCTCCCTAAAAACTATTTTTTAGCTTCCCTCACACAGGCACAGTTCCCTGGATGAAGTTGGTGAAGCTGATAATACTAGCTTTTTTCCAGCTTTCTGTCCATTATCTTCCCTAAGAAGCTGTTTTACCGAACGTTTTTTTTAAGAACAGCTTTAACTTCACTGGTGAAGCTGCTTTATAGAATAAATTGCAAAGTTTCAAGCAGACATGCTTTCTCACTAAGTTAAGCCAGTTATTGCTGGATCCTGGATTGTTGTCACAACAGTACAACACGATACAACGTATGCGATATCTAGCAAGTGTTCATGTTTTTCCAGGTTATGCTCAAGCAAGCAATAACAGCATGAGTGCCAAGGATTTTACCAACGATACTCCAAGAGTCAATTATATTCGTGACTACCTGACCTTTTTAGCCTCAGCCATAAGGTATGCACTTGCTCAACTCTTACCAGTTCAACGTAAGTTTTAGCTCGAAGCTATACGTTAGTCCTTTCTCCTTGATGAATGCTAAAATATTATGTCTCTAACTTTGTGAAGAAATGGTGCCGACGTGCGCGGTTACTTCATATGGTCTTTGCTGGATTGCTTTGAATGGACGTCCGGGGACACGCTAAGGTTGGGGCTCTATCATGTCGACTTCAACACGCTGAAGCGGACTCCAAAATTTTCGGCCAAGTGGTTCAGGCAGTTTCTCAAGGGATCACTTGTTGGGACAAGGCTCCGGGACAAAAGTTCCCAGCTGCAGTACGACACTGCATAATGATCCATGATCGTTCTCCTCGTCGGATTGCCGTGTGAACAAGCTAAGTATGCATGTTTGATTATTGCGTTGAATAAAATGGAGCGAAGCCCCTCTTGTTCAACTGTCACTCTTGAAAATGCAATCAAATCCTCCATCGAGTGTACGACACACATTGTGTTTCGAGGGGTTGTGGTTTCATTTTGAAGGATACCGTGTATTGAGTTTGGGCAGAACACTGGGCAGAACGTCGTTAGTGGATTTCGTCAGCGGTGCAATGTATGTATGTATGATTTATAAAATATTAAATAATATTTACTGCCATATGCTTATACACACAAATCGAAGTCGCCCTCAATTGCCGGTGATTTGGCCCCGCTGCCGGTCGTCTCCACCATTTTTCCTCCGTTGCCTCGCTCATCGCCCCTCGACCCACCACTACCTTGGGCTAGCAGCCACCTTTTCCACTGCCCTGACCACAGTGACCTCACCGCTGGGCGCTCTGTCGATCGCCTGCCCGCCCCCCTCCTCACTTCCGGTGGTGCCCTCTTAGTTCTAGCTGTGGCGTCCTCATGCGTGATCGATATCCACTATGTTAGCGTGAATGCTTTACTGCCCATGAGGACACTGTATGAAGCCTGAAGGAGAATAGAATTGGTGTAATTAGATGAATGTACTACATTGAGTCCTTGGGCAGTTTATATAGAGTAGAAGACTTGGAAGGCAAGACAACCCACGAATACATATGACAGTCTACGATACACAATATTTAAACTACCTAATATACTCTAACATCACCCCATAGTCATAGCGGGAGCATCGCAGATGGTCAGATTAAAGAAGAGAATCCAAAGGTTAACAGCACCCCTGACAGTCGTAGCGACGTTGCAATGCGACTGGAATAGAAACGAACAAGTAGCTCATGCGGATGATAGCCCTTTTGTGCCGATGTGGAGGTAGGGTGCAATAGCCATGGCTGAAGAAGCCATGCTAGGGGTAGCCAAGGTCGACTTAGTTGTGGTTGAGCTGCCGATGTTGACACGATCGCACATATGAAGCTGCAAGCACACAAGTGGAGCCATGGTGAGGACTGAGATGTGTCAAGCTCACTACTACAACCAGTTCATCATAGCCGATTTGTAACGTACCCCCCATTGCCGACGATTATGGTCCTCGGCGGTGAATTGTCGATGGTGATGGCTTTGATCATCACCGCTGGTTCACAACTGGTTGTGATAGTTTGCTAACACCGCTGCGTTGGCTTATGATCACTACTACAGATTGATTTATCACTGTCGCCACTTTCATTGCTGTAGCGATAGAAGCGACGGTGTGATACTTGCACCGTCGGTTGGAACGATAGTGAGGCCTCTGAAAGCATCTAGGCCCCTAGTTGGATTTCGGTGATTGATGTCAATACAAGATTACTATGACTAACGTGTGTTTTGCAGAGGCAATTAAGTTAGGTCATGGTAATGGAGATCGATTGGGCAATTGAGGTTGTCATGCCCCTACGATGGAAATCGTTTCGGTTTTCAAAGGATGGACGACAAGGTTAAGGATAACTAGTTCTAAGTGTCAATTGAAGTTGGAGAGACACTTAGAGTAGTTTAGGACTTTGTTTTTTCCTTTGGCCGTTCTATGAAGGGGGGTATGAACGGGTAGCTTGACCTAGTTAAGTCTAGTGAGTTAGGTGTGGTGCACACTTGTTTAAACTAGCTCTAGGTAGCTCCTATGAATGCCTAAGATCTTTTGGAGCAAAATTCATTCACATATATTCGGAAGTTGGAAGTGAATGGAGGGTCAAACACCGACCGGACGAGCTCCTCGGTCTGACCGGACGACGGCCGCAGGTCCCAGTCGATTCATTTGATCGAGGTGATCAAGTCTGTGTGACCGGACGCTGGAAGAGTCATGTGACCGGACGCCGAGGACCAGCGTCCGGTCGACTCAAAGAAGGGTCCAGACTTGGGAAAGAGTGACCGGACGCGTCCGGTCGGTCTTAACCGGACCACGAGGGTTCAGTCGTCCGGTCGACTCGATGAAGGTTCCATGGGTTTTATGCGCGACCGACGCGTCGTCGGTCAAGGTCTGACCGGACCACGCCAGTGTCCGGTCGACTCTTTAATCTTGGTTCGCTGGTTGAACTGACCGGAGCGTCCGGTCATCACGATCGGAGCGTCCGGCCGTCCCGCAAAGCTCATAACGGTTCGTTTTTCGGATCCGGCTTATAAATAGAAGGTCCACTCGTGAGTGGAGGATCTTTGCTCATTCCAACAGTGCCGAGAAACACGCTTTGTGAGTGCCAAGAAGAGCAAGGTCCTAGTGAGGTGTTTGTGATTTGAGAATCCAAGAGAGTAGCCTCACTAGCAAATCAAGAGTAGCAAAGTGTGCATCCATCTTCTCATTAGGCTTCACGTGGTCAAGTGAGAGTTCATGCTTGTTACTCTTGGTGATCGCCATCACCTAGACGGCTTGGTGGTGATTGGGAGTTTGGTGTTCACCCGGCGGAGCTTGTGGGTGACCCAACTCAAGTTGTGAGCGGTTTTGGGTGATTCGCCCATGACGGAGTGTCAAAGAATCAACCCAGAGAGAGCACTTGATGATCTGCGCAGATCAAGGGGGAGCTACACCCTTGCGCGGGTGCTCCAACGAGGACTAGTGGGGAGTGGCGACTCTCCGATACCTCGGCAAAACATCGCCGCGTTCCTTTCTCTCTCTATTTACGTTGAGCACTTACTTTGAGTATTTACTTTGAGCATTTCAATACTTGTCTTACATCCATAGAATTGCTTGCTAGAGTAAGTTTGGAACGTTGGTTGCGAGGTTGTTGTGCATTAGTTTAAATATAAACACTTTTTAGGCACAAGGGGTTAATTGGGCTATCCGTAGGATTTGATTATTGCAAGAAAATTTAGAATTAGCCCAATTCACCCCCTCTTGGGCATCTTGATCCTTTCAATTGGTATCGAGCCTCGTGCTCACGTTTTTAAGCTTAATCGCTTAGAGCAAGATGTCTCACGGGGATGGACCTCCTCCTATCTTTGAGGGAGATGATTTTCCATATTGGAAAATTCGCTTGGAGGCTTACTTAGAAGCTCTAGATGTTGGAATTCTTAGAGCCGCCTCTCAAGGGTTCCCAGCACCTAGGAATGCCGCACAACTTCAAGGCGATGAAGTGAATTATGAAAAATGGAATGCAAAGGCTCGCAACACCATCTTTAGAGGCCTTTGCAAAGATGTGTTCAATCGTGTAAGGAACCACAAAGACGCCCATGCTCTATGGTCGGACGTTTGTGCGCTCCATGAGGGAACCAAGAGTGAGCGTGAGGAACGCTATCATCTTGTGATTAAAAAGCTAAATTCTTTTGAGATGTTTTCCAAAGAAAGTGCTAATGAGATGTATTCTCGATTAAATGTTCTTGTAGAGGAAGTCAATGGGCTTGGACTCACTCAAATGTCACCATCCGACGTTGTGAGAAAAATCTTGAGTGTCCTCCCCATTGACAAATATGGGCACATTGTGACCGTGCTACATCAAGGTGATCTTTCCGCCGCTACACCAACACAAATCTTGGGAAAGATAAATGCTCATGAGATGTACATGCACATCACACCACAAGATGGCTCATCCTCTACAAAGAAGAAAGAGAAGGACTTAGCATTCAAAGCTAGCCAAGACAAGGGCAAAGCAAGACTTGAGTATGAGAGCTCAAGTGATGAAGATGATGAAGAAAGCCTTGCCCTCATGGTGAAGAAGACCACCAAGATGCTAAAAAGGCTAAACAAGAGTGGCATCAAGTTCGACGGCAAGAAGAAGAAGTTCTTCACTAGCTCAAGAAGAAAGCCAATCTCCGAGATGGATTGCTACAATTGTGGCGAACTTGGTCATCTAGCTCATCAATGCACAAAGCCTAAGAAAGACAAGTTCAAGAACAAGGGCAAGAAAGATGATTCAAGTGATGAAGATGAAAAGAAGAAGAACAAGCCATACAAGAAGAGAGATGGCAAAAAGAGGGAGTTCTATAAGAAGAAGAAGAGTGGCAAGGCCTATATTGTCGGTGATTGGCTCACGGACATTGATTCATCAAGTGGATCATCCGATGATGATAGTGACGATGAAAAGGTGGCCGCCATTGCTATTGATCTTGCATCTTCACCACCACCATCGCCATCATCATCATCTACACCTATGCCTTATGGCCAAAGGCGAACGCAAAGGTAACTAAGAGTGATGATAGTAGTGATGATGAACATGCTAGTGATGATGATAGTGATAGCGATGATGATGACTCACCTACTTATGATGATCTTGTCAAAATACTAAGAAAATATACTAAGATCATTAGAAAGAGTAGAGCTACAAATGAAAAACTTGATGCTAAAAAAATGATTCACTCTTAGCTAAGTGTGATACATTAGAAAAGGCTAATGATGAGCTCAAAGAAACAAATGATTCTATATCATCCAAACTCAAGGAGCTCAAATCTTCTAAGAAAGAGCTTAAAGATAAAAATGATAAACTTGAGTGGGTGCACAATGAGCTTATCACTAGTCACAATAAGCTAAAAGATGAATATGCAACTCTAAAGATCAATTATGATACCCTTATTATTGCACAAGAATTCTTACCAAATGAGCCACATGATGCTACTAACCATGTTGTTAAGATTGATATAGCTACCTCATGTGATGACTTAATTGATGAAAGCATTGAGCATGGATCTAGTAGCAAGGGCAAGCAAGTGGTTGAGTGCAATGACTATGATGAGTATGTCAAGCTCAAGAGTAACAATGAGAAGCTCATGAAAGATCTTGAAGAGATGAAAAGTCACAACACCATTGTGATAGAAACTCTTGATCATGACGAAGATTTGATCCTTGAGAATGAGAAGCTAAAAAAGGAAAATAAGAAACTCAAGGAAGAGAAGAACAATGATATTCTCAAGGAAGAGAACAAGAAGCTCAAAATGGAGAAAGAGCATCTCAAGGAGGGATTGAGCAAGTTTGCTAGAGGCAAG